TGTGTGTGTAGAACAATCCACCTAAGAAGGATGCAGAGAAACAGCTTAAAAGTTGATCGTCAAAGATCTTATGTGAATTTTTCAATGACAATGCACTGATATTAACAATATTAGAAAGATGTCATCAAATTTTGAAACTGCTCATCTAGAAATAATCAAGCATTGAATTACTGCTGCTCCTTGAATATTCAAATTTGGTGCTCTTGGAGCCAAAAAGAGCCTAGGGATAGTGAATCTATTACACCTAATAATAGGTAATAATAGCTAAAACTCTAATTGACCTGCAGAGAGTTAAGGGTGGTGGTATTTTCAGCATTAATCATAGGTAAAATTGAGCAAAATTTTTCTTCAAGCTACACCATCAAGTAGTGTTCCAGCTGATTAAATTTGTATTTACAATGATGTCGTCTTCCTGGCTGCCACCATTACCTAAAAGTGTGGAAGCACTTTCAGTTTTTATCTCCTTCCCCTCGTTTCCAAGAAATTTACATTCTTATCCTCTATTCTATGTGTAATTTAGTCACAAATCCATATCATTTTAATTTTTCCACTAATCATATCATTTTAGTGTTTCCTCTTCCATCAATCATATCCTCTTTTTTTAATATTTTATTTTAAGGTTATTTCTGTTTCACTCTATTGTTCTCACATATCCCTTAACATTTCATGTTTGTTAATTTAGAATTGTACTTTAAATCTTAAGTATTAATCCGTTGCTGTGAGTCAAGCACACCTACATACAGCGCCTCAATTGGCACCAACTCTTAAACATGCAAACTGAAAATGATGTAGTGTCATCTCTAGTACTCAACCCGTGACCTTGTTTCTACCAGAAAGTAATTCCCAACATCAGAAGCCAATATTAGAATTTACATAACCAACTTCTATTAACTGTTGCCTACTAGATGAGAGAGGTTGTAACTATGTTTTTGTGGTGTCATGCTTGTGGATAGAACTTGGATGCGATTTAACACAAGTTCTTATGAAAAATTGCCTGAGGCATGTTTGTTTTGTGCAGATACCTTTTCAGGGGTTGATCTGATGCAAAAAAAAAAAAAAAAAAAAAAAAAAAAAAAAAAAACAAAAAAAAAACAAAAAAAACCACCCTTTAGAAGGATGAAATTTCACTTGGGAAAACTGATTTTTTCATGAATGGCATGGTCTGATGATTAGGGGAATAAAGACTGAATACTGAAAATTGTTACTCCTCTACTTTTCTAACAAATCCCCCAGGCAGTTTTGGCCGGTCAAAGGCCACTTTGATTAGTTGACACGGCAACTGCCCCACTCACTGATGCTCCAATGTTTTGGAGATGTTCGTTGTTTTCAGTAAATATTCACTAGTCCAGACGTCATAAAACGGAGTAATTACAGCCTCTTCCTTTTTGTAGGCAAAGGGCCCATTTATATAGGCTTGATTTTCCTCTTTATCTATTACTTTGTCTAAAAAAGTGACTGAAGTTTCCAAAAATTTTGAGATGAGACACCAAATCTTACCATTTTAAGGCAAAGAGTATGTGAGTACAATTTTGGTCCAAAAAGTGTCAACTCAAATCCTAGTCACCATGGTTTGAGGTGCAAAGCTCAAAAAATATACCTATTATTGAAAAAAAATGTATAAAGCTTGAAAAATAAAAGTAAGTTACTTATTTGCAAACGATACAAGTAAGATTCAAGTCAGAAAATGTGTAAGCTGTTAAACAGCAACAATATTAGGTTTAAGAATCAACATTTTTTGGTCAAAATTGTAAGTACGTAAATATTTTCAACCTTTGTAACTTGATGAAATTTACCTCAAAAAATTCACCGGAACTTCACTATCTATTCCAGACGTAGTCAATGGACTTTAATCAATTTTAAAAGAACTTTGTTTGTCCCTGGTCCCTTTGAATTTCTTTGACTGGTTGAATATTGTTATATAATTTTTATTTTGGTGACAAAGCAGGTAGGAGAAATATATGTGACAAGGAAATGAATCAAGTTGCTGAATATTCTCCAACCTGCTGAACGACGCAATTCTTAAAACTTTGCTCATTATGGCAAGAATGAAGGAAATAAATTTTTGTATGTACTTTTAAAGTACCTGTTATTGAAGGATAAATTTTTGACTTTAAGAATTGTGTAAACTTGAGGGGTAAAATTATAGTTTTTGTTAAGTCTGCAGCTTTTTATTGACATGAGGTCTAGACAATCATTGTTGCAACATCTTTGTATTCAAAAGATGTATCCTGTAGGTATTCATATTTTTATACTTCCAATCAGTCCTCTATCAAACTTCTTTCAACTTAAACAAATTTTAAAGAAATCATGTTTGCACCCTTTATTGATTAATGGTAATGAACATCTGTATTCAAAATGCTAAATCTGTGTCTAGGATCTTTTATTCAGTTACTACGTACCCATACACTTCTTCATCTCGACCATTTTGTTTTTATTTTTTTTATTTTTTTTTTTGTGTGGTTGTGTGTGTGTGTGTGTCTGGAGGTTAAAAGCTGAGAATTTTTGACGATATTTAAATTGTTAAGTGGCTTGATTCAAAATTATGACTTTTTCTTCCCCCAAACTGTCATGATTTTTAGTTTCCAAAATTATTTTATGTTGTTACAAATTATCTTAGTGGTGCACAACAAGTTGAGCTTTGTTAAAAAAAAAAAAAAAAAAAAAATCCGTTAATTGCTGCTGATTTTTTTTCTCTCTCTCTCAAAGTATTTTGCAGGTACAGTTTAAAACAGTGAAAATTGCTTGCGGTTCGATCCTTCACAGCTCAGTAATATTTTTATTTTGAGAAATTTTTCATAAATTTCAGAAAAATTCCAATTTTTACAATGGAAGAGCAGGTATGTTAGGCATTGTAATGGACGTTTTTGTGTTGTAAAATAAATGCAGACAACGTTCTGCTTGTTGAGAGAAACCTGTGTCAAGTACCCAATAATGATTGGAAACTAGAGACAAGAAAATTTTAACTTTTCCCCCACTTTTTAATACTTATCTTAAGCCTTATCCCAAGCAATACCTATATTACATTTGATTAGGTACCTAATTTATTTTTTATTCTGTACCTACTTTTTTTTATCAATTTTTTTGAGTTTGTCCCCTGTCGGAAATGTCTCCTCTGCCAATGGGCGCATCAAATCTTCATATCTTGTTCATCATGACAGTAACTTTTGAAAGGCCCACCATGAAATTTCTTGAACTAAGTTTTCATGTGCTCAAAAATTTAAATGTAAAAGTTAAATGTAAATAAGGTGAGTCTATGCAAGATGAGTGCGCCTGCAGTGAAAAAGTTATATCTCACTTTTGTAGCAACTTTCAAATCCTTTTTTTTCTCATAAAACAAGAGTCTGCTCAATTGCTCTAGGCATTTACATGCTTTTATACACTATGAGTCCATTGATCTTCGCCTTGGATGTAAAGGAAGCAAGTCTGGATTTCTGCATAGTCTCAGTTTCCTGCAGTAGTAAAACCAGTCTCATCCCCCAAAACAGCACCGTGTGCTTAATAATGGTTATTTGGTTTTGTATCGCCCATATTAGGTTTGAAGAACGTGTAATTATTTTTAGGGCCAAAGTAGCATTTATTAAGAACAGATGTCTGCCTGCATGTATGTTGGTAGTTCTATCATGCTCAAACTCACAATAAATGTGAATTTTCTCATTAAGAAATGAGAAGTAAGAGCTTAAGCATTTGAGACAATGAGACTGAACTCATTAGCCACTCAAAAATGTTTTTAAGAGACTGCTTGTGTATCCCAAAAGAAAATATCAATGTGTTAGCATAATGGCTTATGTGCACCATTTAGTCTTGTTCATGGCATCATTCCTGACCACATTCTAAATTGCATAATAAGGTGATAGTGTGATTTTCTCTGGTTAAATCTGACTGCAAGATACCTACAACTCTGTCTGAATTAGTTCAATTTTATTCTGAAGTGCAAGCAAGTTCTTTAAATAAGCCATAAATATTAAAGTGTGATGCAAGTTGTCAAAAAGAAGGAGAAACATCAAATGTTTTAACTTCTTGTAAATTTTTTATTTTAATCTAAATTTTTAATCATGTATCATTTTGATCTGTATCTTTTTAAAAAAAGGAAAAAAATTAAATAATAAAATTGTTTCTATATAAGAGTCAGTCTATTCATTTTAGCTCTTCCTGCACTATGACTTTTACATTTTATTTTTTATATCTTTATTATTCATGCCTTGCCTGATTTCAATTTCTGCATTTTTTGCCCCTTTACATAATAATACATGAGGAGATGAGAGAATTGGTGCTAAAGGAACCTCAGTGCTCTATTTTGTTTAGCATCTCCTACATTTCAGAGTTAAAAGTATCAGCATAGGGATAGTGGAACTGAAAAGAAAAGAAACAACATATTCACTGCAAGATGTTTAAATTGATTTGAAAAATACATTATGCCCCTCAGCGTTTGGCAATGGGTATTTTTCTATACATACTGAGAGAAGATGTTTTTAGTCATTTTTGTACAAATACCTAAAGTACATGGGTAATTTTCAGCGATTATTCCATTTAACTTGCTTAATTAAGACATAATTTTACAGACTATCTTTCATCAATGATTTTTTTTTTGAGTCCTCTAAGTGGCATTAATGCAATTTTCTCTTTTATGCACTTTTCACATTGATGAAGTGTGTTTAATAAGTACGTAGAGGGCACTGAGTCACGCTTATAATTAAGACGGGAAAAGGAGATACCTAGTTATTATAACTGAAAAAAGTAGGTCGAAGATTTTTTTCCATATGGCATAGAGGGAAAAAATGAGATTTTTAGGCCCTAGTGTGTATCCATTATGTGATCTTTTTCATGAGCTGTAAGTAATAATTGTCAGCAGGAGGAAGAAAGTTCTCAGTTGTGCTCAAAATCACTTATGACTCATAATCAGTTCTTTCTAAAATGTGACCTCAGCCCTTTTCTAGCTTCAGTTCATAAGCAAGTAATTTCAGAAATTGTAGAACTGAATATATGTTATTCATAGACTATTTTTTAATTCACATCATGTCGCAAATAAATGTAAGATACCTTAAAACAAGATCCATTTAACTACATAATGGTAGTGAGTTGCATTATGACCCTCCTGGACGTATCAAAGTAAGTCTTCAGGACGGTTCAGAGGACATCTACAGAAATTCTTAACCATTCTGAAAGATGACAGGGAGGAATGTTTCCAAGACATCTTAATGGATTGAAGTCCCTGGTTGCATCAGTAATTCCAGCATTTCCAATGCCTAGCAAGAATCGTCTATGAACTCATAATTCATGGAAAAGCCAAGCTCTTTGAGTGTCTCGTCATCTCCAATTTTATCATCAGACATGAAAGTCACAAATTGAGGCCCACGACTCCGTGCTGAAACATAGGTGAGACGTGATTTATGTAGGCAAAATCCAATTCGATCAAAATTTCGACAGGCACATTTCAAAAAAGTATATCTTAGATCTGCCAAAAATCAAGAACTGCTCCTGAGTACTTATAGTGCGCTATTTAGCTCAAAATTTTCGGAATTAATACACACCCTTATTACTTAAACGCTCTTAAACTGAATGAAAAATGAGTGAGGTTTTCACTCGAATAATAATCTCTTTTTTTTCTAGATTTCTAATGTAACATTTTAGTATGTTAAGCATGGGAAATCGCCACTTTATCAATGACTGGGGGGCTACGCCCCCTAACGACGTCGTGGTTCAGCCGCCCGAAACGCTTCTCGCCTCAGGTAGTGTGCGTTACGCGTACCTCTTGTAATTTTACATTTCAGAGTATGATTTGAGAAACGCACGAACCTATCTGAGCCTGAGAAAATGGACGAAAAGTTACACCTTTGATGGGTTTCGGCTGTAAATGTTCTCATTGGGCTCCCACGCATTTGACTGTGTTCAGTTTCAAGAATTTTGGTCGCACAGTGGTCCATAATGGGGAGAAATCGTCGACAAATCAGGATTCTTTGTCAAATTTTTAGAAATGGAAGTAAAATTGTCGGTCTGCTGCAGTTTTCATGGCTAACAATGTTCTTATCGGTCCTCAATGCATGAAATTGTGTTCAGCTTCACAAATGTACATCGCACAGTGGTCAAAAATATAGGGGAATTAGTGGACAAATTAAGATCCTCTGTCAAACTTTTTAAAAATAAAGTGAAACTGTTGGTCCCCAGTAGACTTTAGATCCCGGAAAAATTCATGTTTTTAATTTTTTCAATTATTAGTACATGTCAGACCGTATTGTTCATAGAACGTTGTTATAGAATAGACTCTGTAGCATTATCTCAATAAAATATGCAAACTTTCAGAAATTTAAAAAAAAAGAAGGAAAAATGGAGAGAAAAAATTAGAAAAATATTTAAATAGTCAAAAAAAATTCAAAGAATTTTTTCCGGGATCGAAAGTCTACTGGGGACCAACAGTTTCATTTCATTTTTAAAAAGTTTGACAGAGGATCTTAATTTGTCCACTAATTCTCCCATTTTTGACCACTGTGCGATGTACATTTGTGAAACTGAACACAATTTCATGCATTGAGGACCGATAAGAACATCGTTAGCCATGAAAACTGCAGCAGACCGACAATTTTACTTCCATTTCTAAAAATTTGACAAAGAATCCTGATTTGTCGACGATTTCTCCCCATTATGGACCACTGTGCAACCAAAATTTTTGAAATTGAACACATTTAATGCTTGGGAGCCCAATGAGAACATTTACAGCCGAAACCCATCAAAGGTGTAACTTTTTCGTCCATTTTTCCCGTCTTTTTGCTGTAGAAATGCTGTCCAGAATGATGGCGATTTGGCAACTTTGCCCCCTCATTTCTCAAAAACCGTGCGTATACTCAAGCTAAAATGTTTACCAGAGTTTTAGGGTATCATAAGGTATCGTTTGGGCCCGGTTTCAGAAAAATCCCCGCTGGCCCAAATTGTGCCAAAAAACGGTCGTTTTTGGCGTCGCTCTTTTGGGTTCAAAATCGGAAGTTCTCTGATTTGGTTGAAATGAAAATAGTTTCCTTGAAAATGACCCGCTGAGTCCGACTTTCTGGTTTAAAATGCTCCTTGAGCTCAATGGAGCTCACAATCAGCGGATAAGTGGGTGCGCGCGAAACGGTCAAAAACAGTCGAAGACGGTCAAAAACACTCTTTTCGGGCTCCTGAAAGCATCGGCTTGTCTCGGGATCTGGCGCAATCGATTTTACGCCTCAAACTACGAAGAATTCGACGCTAATCTCAACCAGAAAAAGAAGAAGAAAAAATTATTTGTCTAAAGTTGAGAAAAATTGACAAGGATTTACACGGGCTATTTGCAAAATTGACATACGCCATGCTTTTTTGGAAAAGTTTTTGGTGAAAAATTTGCACCATTCAGCAACGCCATCGTGAACCACCACGGGTCGTTCGAACTTCGAAGATTTTCATGGTGAGCTCGATCGTAAATGCCAAGTAGAAACCGTTGAGTACCAACAAACCGCAGTTATACGTCGTGCCTGAGAAAACAAGAGCGCCTACAATCTTTCGTGTATGCAACGCGGACATCCCGAGAGCACGAATAGTTGCATTGACCTCGGCATTGAAAAAAACCGGAGCGGGTTTACTTTTTTCGATCAATGGGGGATGATCGGACCTCTGATAAAACGTGTTACTCCGTTGCATTCATGCGTCGTCGTTGTGCGAGAGAATAAGGGCAGTTTGAGCACAGTAATCAAAGTGAAAAAATTAAATGAGGAAATCAATTTAATTTATACATGTTACGTTCCTAGGCGCAATAGGTACTCACCTGTAACGGAATTGTTGGAGCCAAGAGCATTGTAACAGAATTTACAGGCCTTGACATTTTCACTGGTTATTCCGTCCGGAACGAACAAATAATCTTCTGTGAGAGGGTTGTTCGCATTCTGAGTGTCGCAGTCTCTGTCTGTCGCCCTCATATTATTGCTGTTGCCAGACAATTGAAAGAAAACAGGCGTATGTCTGGAAATTAAAATATGTAGGTATGTAGCTCACAAAAATATAAGATGGATAGGTATTTTATTTTGGTGTGAGATATCAAATCGTTAAACAGTCCCTAAGCCCCCCCCCCCCNCGATTCCCGTATACAGTGGACTCTCGATAATTCGAAAACCTCGTTAATTCGAAGGAAAGTCCGTTTCCCTAGGAAATCTCTCGATAGTTCGAAGAAAATCAATGTATTTTTTTCCCCTCGTTATTTCGAAATTTTTAAGCTAGCTTGACCCTCTATAATTCGAAACTGCGACGAAAATTCTCTCTGTAATTCGAAGTGTGGGAAGTAAATATAGTCCTCCCTCTATAATTCGAAATAAGGCGGTACATTCCCTCTACAATTCGAAGTCAACTGTTTATGTACCTGGGTGTCTGAAAGAGCTGATAGGATTGTCAAAATGTAAACATGTAATTAATAATTTTAAAATTAAATATAAATAATTAATACTTAATAATTACTCAGTGTAATTTTCACCTCCGTGAAGAAATATATAAACTGATATATTTGGTTCCTTTTGACGTAAATCCGTCCATTTGCCTCTCTACATTCGAACCTCTCTAATTCGAAATCCCTCCGCATGAATCTTTTTAATTCGAACTCTCTTTATTTCGAAACCTCGCTATTTCGAGGAAAAAACTAATATCCTTCAATTTCGAATTATCGAGAGTCCACTGTATTATAGAGCTTTTTTTAAAAAAAAAAAAAAAAAAAAAAAAAAAAAAGTAACTCATGCCTAGGTAACTTGCTGTTTACCATTTAAAGGGTCCGGTCCGTAGTGCATGCATGAACCTACTAACCGCGTGACATTTCGAAAAAATTTGTTGAGATCATTTTTGGTATCTTAATTTTCTTGACTTACCTAAATGCGCTTGGGGGACAGGTGTACCCATAGGTAATCGACCTCATTGGCGGATCCAGCAAATTGGCAACATTGTCTTTTCTCCATTTAAACCTATGGAAATGCATCGATTCTTGGAGGGGCCAGGTGCTCCGACAATAATCGATTATTCATCGTACCTAAGTTTAAATGGAGGAAATCCGACGTTGCCAAATTGCTGGATCCGCCTCTGATCGACCTAAAGGAAAGAATCCGATTCGAGCGGTCCCAGACAGAGCCGGATTAAGGGAGTGGCCACATGGGCCGCGGCCCATAGCGGCAAAAATTACAAACGAGAAAAGCGTATTTCGGTGACACAAGAGAGAGCACCTTTAATTAGTCGAGTTAAGAGAGAAGAGAGAAACCAAACACGCAATTTGGCATGGAGCGGCGCGGCGTAGAGAGCAATGGTGGTGAGGTCTTGAGATGAAAAGGAGAAGCCCTCAGCGCGGCGCACGGAGAATCGAGTCAATGAGAGAGGTCGGACAAAATTTGGAAACTTTAAACACTCACAATTAACTCCGTTTACAGAAAAATCTGATGTATTGCAAGTGGTTCCATTGGTTTTCTCGTGAAATTTTCTTCCAGTATCACCCCGAGAACTTTAAAATGTGACGAAATGAACGTCAACATTTGCAGTTTTTGTCATAAATTTCATGTCCAACCTATCTAATTGACTCAATCCACTGAGCGGCGGTCGGCATGTAACACATTAGCACCTACAAGACTGCATGAATACTTCACGCATTGCGTCTAACACAGTGCGTTCAGCGGCGGTCGGCGTGAAACGCATGGCGCCTGCAATAAGACATTAGGAAAACTTCACGCATTGCGCCAAATGGACGTATTTCTGTCAAACGGAACTAAGCGCCATGGAAAAGCATTGCGAGTGTAGGACGGAGAATAAAAATATATAATAATAAATAATAATAATAATATAATATAATATATATATTAATCATTAGCAATAGAGAAGGAGAGGTAGAATAATATATATATTAATCATTAGCAATAGAGAAGGAGAGGTAGAATAATATATATATTAATCATTAGCAATAGAGAAGGAGAGGTAGAATAATATATACATAAAGTAATATAGTTATTAATATAGGCCGTGTATTATAGGCGTGTATTACCGCCGCCAATTCAAGCCTCCCGCTACCTTCCTACCCTTATGCCGCTTAGTTCCGTTTGACAGAAATGCGTCCAAATACAGTACGGTCAGCGTGGCGCGGCGGCGGAAGTTAAAATTATTAACCACATTTATGTTTGTTCTTGCATTATTTTTACGTTCATTTCTTACTGAAAGAATGATAATATCGATTTTACTCACTTTATTGCGCACACTCCGTCAACTTTTTTGAAGCAAATTGCGTAGTTCAGGTTAGCCAGGTGGGGTCCATTGTTGTTGTTCAAATTGAAGCTTTTGTACATTCCGCTCTTCGCCGTATAGTATTGCAAGCAACCGGGAGGTGCTAGGTGAAACATAAATAGCATGAATTTTTGGATTAAAATAAGTACATACTTAATGATGTTTTACACCGTTTTTCTGTTTGCATACGCATGCCCTTCACTCTATACCGCGTCTAAGGAAAATCGTTCGAACGTTGCTACGTAATCTTCCAATGAGATACGATTATAAATATCGCTGGCCGAGGTGCCAAACGACGTACATTCATTGCAACGTTTAACAATTTCCGCTCCTATTTCATTTTTCGAGGAAAAACAAGTCATTTTAATAGGCTTGACACTTATACACTTACACACTATTCTGCTTCCAGATAAACAAAAATCAAGGAAGTTAAAGTTTTCAAGATATTACCTCGCCTAGTTTCCACAGAAAAAAAAATAGGTACGACAGGGCAAACGTCGCAACGTTTGCAACGTCGCAAACATGGTTTTGCACAATGGCTGTTGTCCTTTTTCAGAAAACTCACTACTGGTTTAAGCAAAAATAAATAAATAAAAATAAAAAATTCATTAAAATAAATTGCGAAAAATCCGACAAGTTTAAAAAAATAGCCTACAGCTAGAGTTTGCAACAAGTATCCAAAAGTAAGGTATCGAGAAAATTCATACCTAACCCGAGGGAATTGATAAAGTTTCACTGATGGTAAATTTTTCGCACCTGTTAAGGCAATACCTGTTTTGTAGCAAACTTAGAGACACTTTCAGCTTGCGGCAGAAAATGTGAAAGCGCCTTCAATTGTTTGTGTATGCAACCTTGATAGCTAGGGAACACGTATAGTTGCATCCAGACAGGCGTCATCGTCATCGTCCATTTAGAACGTGCTCTTGTTTTAAAGGAGGAATCACAAGCAATGTTTGTAGACGTAAAGGAGTGCCTAATTCAAATTTAATAATACCTAAATAAATAAAGGAAGAAAAGAAATGAATTAAAACTACCTCTCCTGCCCTCACTTAACCCATGTGGCATAGTGTCTCGAACTCGTAACAGTAATGTATTTTTTGGGTTTATAAAAATTAAATCTTTCCTCTGTGGCATGACTTCGCAAATTTTCATTAGTTTTTTTTTCTTTTCTCGAATGGCTGATTCCCAAAAATTAAAAATTTTGAAAAGAAATCGGTATAGGTACTCTATGTATTTTATGCAAGCAGCAAAATAGATTCGTGTCCCCCCAGAATTCAAGATCCGAAATTCATAGAGATCCATGCCATAAAGGGTTAAGTATACCGCGTTGAGCAGAGAGGAACCAAGCCACATCAGCTATACTGCTACATTTAAATGGGCAATTTAACTTTTAACGTGAAAAAAGTTGTGCAAGTTTTTGTGCACGTTTTAGGGAATTTTTAGAATAGTACAAAGCAAATTCCTTAAAATTTTCAAATGTATGCACAAACGTTCTCTTGTGAAAAGTTATATTACCCAGTCACATTTGGCAATAGCTGATGAGACTTGGTTCCTTTCTGCTAAACGCGGTCTAAGTATGACTATTTTCAATGCGATTTAGACGAGGGTCGCTCTGAGAGCTTAATACTTACGTACTTACTAAGTAAGTACCGTAGTAAGTTACCTAAGTAAGTTATACTTACCGACTTTATCATAATCTGATACCCTCAAAATGAACCGGAGTCTTTGCTTGTTTTGGCCACGCTTCGTGGTGATTCCTCCGGTGGGATTGAGACTGAAATCGCTGAAAATGCTGTTGATGTCCCAGTCGGCGTCGAAAGCAGGGCTCTGCACATTCCTTGGCGGAACCTCCAACTGCGTGATCTTCAAGGACCACGACGCTTGCTCGGAGTTGTTGCTTCTTTTGGCGATGTGAAATTTGAGCTCAGCCGAGTTATAGCCTGGCTTGCTTGCATTGACATTGATGTAAACTGTGAAATTAAGTGAAGTGTTAGATGCGGGTACTAAATTTATGTTAATTAGCTATCTGCACTAAACATGATAGGTACTGACATGGGTGGAACTATAGAAACATGATTTTTTCCTGACAGTAAAGGGAGGACGTCGGGAAACGACATTTTGAAAAACCTACTCCCTAGAAAAATCAGAGCTTCGTGCATTTGATTTGTACCAAATGCTCAAATTTCCTTTTGATTCAATCCGTTTGCGCATAGCGATGGTCAAACTCCAAAAATGCGTACCTCGGTTTGCGGCCTCGCAGACTTCCCATCATACTTTATTTTTTGAATGGAAAACCACGCATCGTCAATTCTTAGAAACTTCCGTGATTTTTCGTCTCTGTGGGAAGCAAACTCTGAGAAAATTTTAAGGAATAATATTGCATTGTTCTCCTTTAAAACAGTAAAACAGGAGCGGAGATTTTTAAACGCCGCAAATGAGATACGTGCTTTGATAGTTTCATCATCCATATAGTTCCGTATAGCATAAACTTGTTCAATAGTCCCTTTTTTCAATCAAATGGACAATGTAACGGAGGGGACAATTTTTTCCTCCTCTCTTTCCCCCAAATTGTCCTAACATCTTATCCCTGTCGCAGAATAAGGACTTTAGAGTGTAACTATACTTACTATGTTGGCCATCATTGACTCCGCATAAAGCTGGTAAACCAACGCTAGGTGTAACTGTGAATGTGTCGTCGATGCAAGTAAACGACGAAGTCTTATTGCTCGGTTGCCTTAGGATCATCTTCAGAAAATCGACTCTACAATCAAGAGGGAAACATGATTTTGAGAGAGGGAAGCGGTAAGACACTAAGTAATTAATGACATTCAATAATTGCCTCACATATATTTTAAATAAAACGAAAATGAAAAATGGACTTGGTGAGCTTCACATAAGTAGGCTGCATTTGACATTAAATCTAATCCATGATGATATTTCGATGCCCCTATGCAGTTATGACTATTTCAACGGCTCTTGCAGCATGCAGAATTCAGGGGCTTGGAGAACAAAGCGCATAAGTGCAGCTTTCGAGAAATACGTGTTTGAACTTTCGAACTTACATGGATCCTTATAGCGGAAAGAAAGTTCAAACTGACTTTTTGATGCTTAAAAATTGGAATTTGGGAGCAAATTTTTCTCAGATTATCATGCATTAACACTAGTTTTACAGTTGAAATCATTAATATCTCATAATTTTCAAAAACTGCACTTATGCGGCTTGTCCTCCAAATCCCTCAAATAATTATTACACCGCGAGCCGTCACCTCGAGAACAATGATGTCAAATGAAAGGGCGAGAGTTTGATTGGCTGAATTGTATTGACACGTCAGAAAGTTTTCTTTGACGACCTACACGGAAAAAATATCTTTGGTGCTTATAGCCAGATAGTAGGTGACATTTACCATCTTGGATTCCCAGATTCGACCCCTCGAGAACAATTTTGCTACGAGCACTAATGTATGATAGTCCAGGCGCCTGGTAGCTAAAAATGAGGCCACCTGGAATTATGGGTACACAGTGATTTTTTGGCTTACTTTATGTTTTTTGGGTCGCTGAATCCGAATCTGAAGTTTCCTACCGCGTATCTGGTGAGCATTTTCCGCCATTGTGAAAAAATGGCCTAAAAAGGCCTTTTTTACGGTTTTTTTATGTAGCGGCTACGCATGAGAAAAAATCCCGGATTTAGCTAATGTTTTGAATAGCTGACAAAATTTGGAAGAAAGTGGTGTATACATAAGCTAGGTTTGCATAAAAATTGAGGAAGATACTGCATCGTGAACATCGCGCCCATTCACATTTTCGCGGCGCACCCGTTAACGCGTGATCCGGCTCGCCGCGGTCAGCTAAGTTCCGAAGCGTTCCAAAGTTCCGAGATCCGAGGTTCCTCAATTTTTGAGCAAACCTAGCATATTTATATACCATTTTCTTCCAAATTTTGTCAGCTATTCAAAACATCAGCTAAATCCGGGATTTTTTCTCATGCGTAGGTAGCCGCTTAAAAAAAACCGCAAAAAAGGCCTTTTTAGACCATTTTTTTCAAAATGGCTGAAAATGCTCACCAGATACGCGGTAGGAAACTTCAGATTCGAATTCAGCGACCCAAAGAACATAAAGAAAGCCAAAAAAATCGCCGTGTACCCAAAATTCCAGGTAGACTTACCAGGCGCCTGGACTATGATGGTTAGAAACCTCAAACCGCGATCAGGTAGGCGTCGACAACAAAGATGGTATTTCGCACCAACACTGCTGGGCGGGCACGCCGCGCCGTCCTCCGTAGACGTCCCACACAACGTTGCTAAGATAGACCTTCAAAGATGGTAACCTGACCCATCCGGATGTTTAGTGTATCAATCATGAAAGCAAGGAGAACCTAATATTTTGTGTTTTTAGCCATAAAGAGGAGTATTTTCATGTGAAACGTACAGCTAAAAAAATTGAATACAAAGGTGTGCAATGTCGGGGTTCGCAGCTAGGGGATGGTGGAAAAGGGTTAATCGCGTAAATAAATTTCGAAATCGATAGCAAAATGAGACTACTGTGCTTATTGTGAGGGGCTGTAGTTGTATCCGACCTATCAAATTTTTTTGCCTATCGCGGGGATTGGACCTGGGACCTATCTAACCCTAGCCGAAGATCCTAACGATTGAGCTATACAGTATGATGAGAATCTTGACCGAAAAACCTGTACATACCTTCAATTTGAACGGAAAACCAGGATATTCAATCTACATACTTAGATTGGTTCATTCATTTTTTCTAATTTTTGTATTTCATTTCATTTTTTAACGTTATTTCAGTTTTTTACTTTATTTTATTTCGTTTCTTCATTTTAAATTTTTTACTTTATTTTTTTTCTTTACGTAATATAATTTTTCTTTGATTATTTCTTTTATATTTATTTACTTTATTTTGTTTTTTTCCTTTGTTTCTTTACTTGATTTTAATGTTTTACTTCATTGTTTTATCTTTACTTAATATTATTTTTCTTTGATTATTTATTATTTATTTCTTCCCTGTATTTTACCGTTACTTAAGTACTTTATTTTATTTCTTGCAATTTTTTATTTTTTTACTTTGATTCAGTCACTTCATTTTAATTTGTATACTTCATTAAATATCTCTTCGTTGTTATTCATAACTGCATTTTATTTATCTATTTTTTCTTCTTTTCATTCATGTCAAGAATCAATTCAAAATTTTCAAACTAGGATTATTTTTATGATTGGCTAAAGTGCTTCTAGCATTGGACAAATAAACCCAGGCTACTTTCTTGAACAAGTGGGATTATGTAGAATAGAAAATAAAAAAATTACCCCTCTAAAGTACTGAAGCCTTGACATGGTGTTAAATATAGTGCATGCCTAGCCTACTGGTAAACCTGGGATGTTTAGCTTAACGACAGCATACAATTGACAAGAAACATTGTTAAAACATTAGTAACAATTGATACATTTCTGCCATTTCCTTGGAATTTTGAATGTAGAAAAAAAATTGATTTTGAAAACTATTATTATAGTACCAGGAGCCTTTGGCCGCTACGCTGCCGACAACCAATGCGGAAGAAAACAACATACGTAAAAAGTTGTAGAACAACCGTGTTCAAGTTATCTCGGAGATTAATGGATTCAAATACCATCAATGTTTTATTTTTGATCGATGTTTTTAAAAGAATACACACTGTTATTCTAATGAGTTTCCGCAAATTTTCCTGAGTGCTTTAAAATAGATAAAAGAAAATTTGACTTAAAACGCATAATATCCAAAATCTAAGCTCAGATTCGGCTTCCTCGTGAAAAATCGATGCAATTTTTCATGTATCATATGTCACCATATCATGAAGGAAAGAGATTAACGTAGGCGTGTAGATTCTAACATATCAGTCCGACGTGGCAACATGGGTGATTTGGAGTGGGTCAGCTGATGAGTAAGAAGAAGTTTGTTTTCTCGGAAACGGACGAACCAAATGCTTGGCGCCTGGCGCCTGGCGGCGTAGCTCAAACGTTTGAATTCTGCGCCTACTTCCGCATACCGGCCGGCTTTGATAGAATCTTTACGCCTACGATTACCCTCTTTTCTTTATGCTATGGTAACATATGATACATGAAATGGCATCGGTTTTTCACGAGGAAGCCAAATCTGAGCTTAGATTTTGGGTATGATGCGTTTCAAGTTGAATTTTCTGAATTTGAAAATTTAATACGGCGGACGTAGCCTAAGTTGATACATCGGCTCCCATTCCATCGATTAAATTCGAATTTTTAGTCTAATTTCGAAAATTCGAAAAACCAAGGTGGCGGGCGTGGCCTAAAACGCTATCTCGGTACCTGCTCGTCGGATTTCCGTAAAACTTGGTGTCAAGAGGAGGGGGGGGGGAGGAAAGACATTTTCAAACACTGCAATCGATATGTCGCAGGCAAATAGTAAAATTAGGCATTTTGTCAAATGCCTAGGCAAATAGTCAAATACTAGGGGGCTATGCCCCCTGACCGCTACGCGGTCCAACCCCCTGAAGGCGCTCCGCGCCATCAATGGGCCGCTTCGCGGCCCTATTTTTTCCTCCTATTAGTGTTAGTTTTATTTTTCCCCTCAAAAATTACGATATGAGGTATACTTTACTTTTAGAATGAAATAATTTTTGGTTTTGATGAATATTTTAGTTCGTTTTAATCCTTTTTTTTTTTTTTTTTTTTTTTTTTTTTTTTTTTTTTTAAATCAGTGAAAAATTTAACGTCGTCCGAGTTTCTGAATTGTTGTAATAAATGCCCTTTAATTATCATTAAAACCGAGCAGAGTCAAGAATAATTAATTGTGCGAAGTCATATAGTTTTGCGGCGACTTTACCGTCGCCCCGAGCCAGGGACGGGAAAAGGAGTACGCTCCACGAACATATTATTACACGCTTAGGTATCAGTCACACACGGTGGGTTGAATATGAATTCTTGAAAATTTATCAACATACTTTCCCTAATCAGCCCTGTTAAATTATAAAGCGTTATTACCACGAAATTAATGATAGTTTTATTAAGAGACTTGAGTACAAATATAAGAGACTTGCTTGAAGTAAAAAGTAACTGAACTAAGGTTATAATCTAAATTACAATCAATTGCTATCATCAGCGTTGTATCAGCTGTTACAAATATTATGCTTCAACAAACTCATATCTGATTGCTTTCTTTGGTGACTCAATGTTGGTAAAGCGTAAAAAATTGACGGGGCAGACTACTAACAAAATACTTTACTTGAGTTATCTGAGATGGTGACCTTCATAATCAACAAGTTTATAATTTGCACTAACGCATTCTGTAGTTCAATGAGCCCACTTAACCGAGTAGCATCAACCAAAAACAAGATAGGTGAAGCGCAAGGCGCGCACTCTTTGGTGCAATGAGTCAACTTGATGCAGCAGTTTACCATCAATTTTGTCTCGGTGAACAGATTTGTAATAGCTACTAGTAACTAATTGAAAATGATTGATTTCCCTAAAGACGTTGTGGACAATACAATGCCGTTGGTTATTCTATCAATTTTTTCATGTATACGGCACCAACTTTTAATTAACAAAACCAAGATGGTTATCCGCGCACAGTCATTTTTTTCCGTGTATTCGTTTTCTCAGAGACGGTTGCAATTTTTTCTCTTTTTTTCTGACATTTCTTTTCTAATTTTGATTGCGATTCGACAAAAATTCCAAGAAATTTGCCATGTAGAACAGGTATTTGTTAATGAATGAAGAAATTAGTTGTCCCGTGAAGCTTTGCAACGATGCGATGCAATAACCCCTTTGGCTCTCACCCCAACAAATCGCATCCCCATTTATTTTCAAGCATCCTCGTTTTTAATAAATAATTTTGCAGATCACCCATCGAAGAAAAATACTGTAGGTGATTTGTGTCAATTATGTCATCCTTTTTTACTTTCAGTTATCATAATGATACATCATAGTAAATGAATAGAAAATTGAAAAAAAATAGTCTTACCGGATTTGACCGATCCTCCTGTTTTGCAATTTTATTTTCAAATTACAGTCCGACTCTGTGAAAGTAGAGGGGCTGTTGAAGAAAGTGACTTTCTGGTCCGTTTCTTGATTGCAAGACCTTTGCACTAGAATTGAATGTCATACAAAATGTTCCGTTAGACGGTTTGCAGGAGATGAGTCTACGGTACATGTGGACTTGAAATCGCGAAAATTAAAAATTTTGACTGATCCTAATTTCAAGTTATCGCAATTCGAAATTTTCATAGTAAATGCAAGTTTCCTTATAATTTTGATCAGCTTTTCTATTTATTTTTCCATTGAATCGATGTTGATCGGTTCACATTTTTATTTTTTGTTCGATTCATGTCGATCGAATACATACCCTCTCGTTACATGTAGGCTTCCTATCATACTCTTTTTTTAACTGAAAAATTCGCCTTCTGCTGCGTCTGCAGCAATTGTTCTTACGAATATGTTGTGCGTTCTGATTTTAGTTCATTACATACTCGACTCTCTGAAGGCGTTTCATGTGCGCAAGCAGCGCTATCTGTCGGAGCACGAACGAAGTAGGGATTAAGTGATTCGTTGAATCTCACTTCTGTTGTTTTCCAACAGGGTGCTCTACTTTCGCACGTTAAACGCCTTCAAAGAGTCAAGTATGTAATCAGCTAAAATCAGCACTCCCAACATATTCGCAACAACAATTGCTGCGGACGCAGCTGAAGGCGAATTGGAAACAACCGTATAATACACGTTGAAGCCTCTCATTTCACTTTGCTAAATTAGGCGCATTAGGAGGGGGGGGGGTTAAAGATGGTGACTAGCGGTCATACAGGGAGTTCATAAAACTGAATACCCTGATAATTATTTTTCAAGTGCATCGATGTGAGTATAGTTTTTAAAGATGTCTTTTAATAAAGAAGAGACCATTGACAGCGGGACATGACTGTGCATTGCAACGTTGTGAAATGCCACTTGAAAATGTATTTCATTTATTCAAGACGGTTGCAATTTTCTTTTGAAAAATATAAAGATTTGTGTTTACCCACATTAAAATTTTTTAATTTCACTGTAAACATGCATCCGTTTATGGATGAAGAATAATTTGTAACCTTTACAATACATATAATTTAGGCTTTTAAACTCCTGGTAAATTTTCTCTCCCCATTTGAATCGTACGAGATTGAAATTTTTCACGGAAATCAGACTGTAACGGTAGACTTACCCTGACAGCAAGCTCCAAATAATCCACAATTTCCGACACGTTTTCCTTTTACCATACCACATTGGAGGTTCGACATGCAAATTCCCTCATCGCCATTTGAGCCATTGCAAGTTTTGTTGTCCCAAAAACCAACACCTATAACAAAAAAAATACATCTAGTATCGGCCGAACATATTCACGTGTCAGTTACTCCTGGAAATCTTTGGGTATACAACCAACTGTTTCTTTCATGACATGTAATGCACAGGTTGTGACACGACCATAGATGAACAACTCTCTAAATGACTTATCTCGGAGAATTGTACATCTCTATTCGGTGTAATAGAATTATCCCTCCAATTTGATTATTTCGAAAAAATCAACCCTGGTAAAAATTGGCAGTTGAATCTGTGTTCCAAAATACCATAGATCTAAAGCCGGCTGTAAGATTTCCAATAGCTTCTGTAGCCGGCTGTACAATTTCTTACAGCCTTTCATAGCCGATGGCGATTAAGCGACAGCCAGACGATAAAGTTTATGCTAAACGTTACTAAATACGGATACTAGGACTTAGTTAGTTTTTGGACTACCACTCTCTTTTTGTGCCATAGTATCTTGATTTATTTTGCGAGAAAAGCTCCGTACTTTTGAGGGATGCCTGTCATTCTTAATATGTTGGATAAGTCCAATAGCTTCTGTAGCCGGCTGTACAATTTCTTACAGCCTTTCATAGCCGATGGCGATTAAGCAACAGCCAGACGATAAAGTTTATGCTAAACGTTACTAAATACGGATACTAGGACTTAGTTAGTTTTTGGACTACCACTCTCTTTTTGTGCCACAGTATCTTGATTTATTTTGCGAGAAAAGCTCCGTACTTTTGAGGGATGCCTGTCATTCTTAATATGTTGGAGCGCCTGCAATTTCGAATGATACTGTGCAATACCTCTGGTGTGAAATAGTTGCCTCAGACGCCGTGGCACGCTGCGGCGCCGCGCGGCGGGCCGGCAGAGAGCGTTAAACGCGCATTAGCGCCTACAAACCTAACAGGGATACTTCACGCATTGCGCAATGCGTGAAGTATCCCTGTTAGGTTTGTAGGCGCCAGTGCGTCGCCGCCCCGCTTTGTGTTAGGCTCTAATATTTAATCTCGCGGAGTCAGCGTTTTTCAACTCATGATTTTGAAATGTCTGCACACTCTGTATGGATTATTATCATTTTAATTGATGAATAAAAATATGTTTTAAAGGAAAATATAATGTGTGTTTTGTTAATATTAAGGTAGTTCCGTATCAAACTTCATGATTTCCAAAGCACACGAATTTCTACACAATTTCTTATAGCCTTTTATAGCCAATGGCGATAAAGTGTAAAACCCGGCGATAGGAACTATAGCCCGACTATACACTTTTTTATAGCTTCGTATAGCCCGGCTTTATGATTTGCTCCGCTTTCTACAGCCAGCTATATGATTTTCAGTAGCCTTCTTTAGTCGGCTTTAAGAACTCCTATGGTATTTTGAAACGCAGCTCCTATCGCCAATTTTTACCAGGGAAGCCAACTATGTTGCTCGATAAGAGAAACGCAACGTAATAGCTAAATTTAACGGTAAAAAATAAGAAAAGCATATACTAAAAAATCGGGTATGTCAAGGCCAAAACCACGGGAATAAACGGGGATATCAAGACAATTTTATTTACGAATTTGTTGATTCTGATTTCTGATCGAAATCAGCATCTGAAAATCAACTTTAAAAGGTTTACTAAATTAGTGCCTTTTCATAAAAAATACACGCGGTGCTGTACGCTTGATTACTGGAAATTATTATTTATTTGAAATATGTTATTCTCAATGCCTTTTCTTGGTTACCTGATGATGAATTTTCTAAATGTCAACGGTGAAACTGCAAAAATACTATCTCGGTTGCGATGTTTCCAAATCTCCGCTCCTATTATTTTTTTAAAAAGGAGAACGAACCAATATCGTGGCTTGAAATTCTCACAAAATATTCTTTATATAGAGGAGCAAAATCACTAAAATGTTTAAAAAATGACGTTCATTTTTTCCGTGTAAAAAATAAAGTATGGCAGGAAGCATGCGCCCCTGCAAACCGAGATGTGGATTTCTGCAATTTCACAATCAATATGTTTCCCATTTGATGATAATATAAAAAATAACTCATACCTCTTGCTTCATGTCCAACTTGTTGGGAAAATGTGATGTAGTAGAATCCGAGTAGAAGACAAGCCAACGTTGAGCGAAACTAGAAAAATAGAGAGAGCTTCTTGTAGTGTCGATTTCTAGACGTTTCTTAAAGACTGGGGTTTTTCCTGTTTATTCATTTATATTTAGTTTTTTTTTTTTTTTTTTTTTTTTTTTAAATATTAGCGAATCCAAATAGTGGTTGGATTTTCATAATAATTGCTGTATTGTATTTTTGTATTTTTGAGCCCTTTCTACCTGATGACTCGTTATTTCATGACTTCGTCGAACAGGGCGAAGTAGGAACGGCAGATTTTCTGGTACGCTCCAGACAGTGGCGTTGCGTGCTTTACGATGTATCGATTGATCTGCCATTTAAACCTATGAAAAAGGATCGATAAACAGGGTGTTCGCAACGGACACCTTATAATCGATTCTTTTCTATATATTCAAATGGGGTAATATCGAAAATCGATCGTTCACGCTTCGCCACTGGCTGTAGAAGTCAGCGAGCTAATCACGGGTATGAACCGAAGGACTGGAGTAATTATCACTGTCTCGAAGAAAGGGTATTTTTGGCAGGTACATCCGTGAATTTAACTAATTTAACATAATTTTTAACTAAGGTCACGGATCACGATAGCGATAGGTGCATTGTTCTGAGAGAAAAAAATATGAGACTTCAAAAGTCACGTTTTATATACAGATCAAAGTTTCCTGGGAGAATACTGAATCGCTTGTTCCGAGAAGTGTCAAGCTCTAAAAATAATTCCTAAAAACAAAGAAACTAAATTTAGCCGAAAATTTTCGGCGGGAGAAAGACGTTTTTGCACATGCCCATAATTCCTACGGCCAAAAAAATAAAATTTCTTGGTTCATCGAATGTAAGCACAATATGAACGTCTGTGGACTTCGAGGATGAACTTTTTTCGGATCAAACGAAATTCATGTATATCTTTTCAATGTAAAATTGGGGGGAGGGGGGGCTTTAAATAAAATTGGTCGGGGAAAAAAAACTTCCTTGATCTTTTAGAACACTTGTCACGGTAGAACGCAATTCTCATTTTCCAATGTTGCGCTTCTCCTAAAATGAACAAAATTGGTGTCAATCTTGTAAGTGAAAAATGGAAAAAAAAATTTGTTGGAAAACGTAAAAGATGCTCGTATCCTTTAAAACACTTCGCCACAAAAAACGCAATTTCGATTTTTCCCAAGCTGGGCACTGTTAGAAATTATCCACGAGAGAGGGATTTAAAAAACACTTTTCCCGCGCACCGAGGAAAAGATCGGAGATCCTTACCATTTTGAACGGGCGAAAAGAGTGAAGGATGGTAACCGATGGGAACGTATGCTATAAAAACTATTGCCCAAGAGCATTTATAGCTTGCGCTAAATCCTGACGCGATCCAGATCCCGGAGTATCAGGAAAGGAAGCACTAACTGGGCTTGCCTGATAAGAAGATAATTTCTGGATGCCTTAAATATTTGTGCATGGTGCCTGTGTACTGTGCTGATTACAGGTAAGGCAGCTCCTCCGCGATGAGCTAGTGCAGAATGAGTCACTTGCCGAGGCACCAGGGGCTCATTTGGACACTGTCATACGCAAAGAAAGAAAGAGTATTGTTAGATACCCTCGAGCTATCGTCCCAGAGTATTTCAATGAAGGGATGAGGTCGATTGTAGCCTAGTTGCATTGCTATGTTTCGACGTTTCACCTGAAAACTCATTTTCCCATTCATTGATGAGCGTAAGCTATGCATAAAAAATTTCAGAAAATTTGTGTCAAATTATAAAGAATGAAAGGCGGTTCTAAAACAGCGAATTTTAAATTAATTTTGAATTAATGAATAAAATATCAAATGAAATTTTGTAACTTCGCCACGCAATTAAGCCCCTTCAGGCTATAAATACCTTCAAATTGTACCTCTAGGCGTAATCCTCCAGTTTTTTGTTAAAATTTCAATGTGAAACCGGTCCTCAAAAAAAAAAATGTTTAATAAAAATGTTTGTTCTTGGAAGTTTCTCTCCTTTGGATGCAGACTTATCCTAAGTATCCAGTGTATGAGCAAGTAAATATATTCAAGCTCTGAAATAGCTTCTACACGTCACAAAAAAGATAGGTCAATCGACAGAGCCAAGATTTCTGTAAAACAGTAAACCTTCACCTTCATTCTAAATAAGTCTGTGTTTTAACCATTTTCCAATTATTTTAAGGAAAAATCAATCATCGTAATGCAATGATGCGAGCTCGACTTAAACTAGATTATCGGAGCAACTCTTTGCTGACAGAATTGACAAAGCGCAACACTGCGAGGGGACTCGAAGGCATAGCGCCTTCATTTTTTAAATATGCAACACGGACATCCATCAAGCACGAATAGTTGTATCCAGACGTTCATATGTTTTTAACCCTAGTCTGCATTGAGTTTTCGCCTTTGAACTGAACATTGCAGACCAAGACAACTCATAAGAAAAAAAGAAAAAAACGTTTCAATCCTCGCAGTGTTGCAGTGCAATATGCCCCTTTGGCTTTTAAGATTCGAAACGTAATTTTTAAAAACACGGGTAAAACAAAGACATTTAAGGCGTGGCTTAAGCACAATCGTCGGGTACTATAATCTGTGTTCCCTCAAAGAATACATCCACCCTGCAACGGGGCAGATAGGCAATAAGGACATATCGTCACCTTGCGGCCGAAGTATCACAAGCGCCATGTGACATTTAAAAATTTCCGCCGCCTTCTTATTTTTTTACAGAGAAATTGTTGAACGAAGCTGTCCAAAAATTCCACTGAATCTTCTTTGTGCTGCCGATAAAATTCAGTGAAATTTTTAAACAGATTCAACCATGTCTCTGTAAAGGAATAAAATGGCGGCGGAAATTTTGAAACGTTGCATGGCACTTATGATACTTTGGTCGGAGGGTGACGGTATATTGCGTGATAATATTAGTGTCTCAACGTCAGACATCGTTGAGCCAATGTTAAGTATGAGGCGAAAAGAGATGTTTAAAGGGGATATTGGTACAATGGCTGTGAGTATGATCAGGTAATGATCTCAATATAGATATTTATAGAATATCGCCTAGCAATATTATAATCAAAAAAAAAAAAAAAAAGGTCTTGCAAATGATTGGAACCCACGCAATATTTCCTGGCGATATTGTTATCTGTCTCGCAATTTATATTGCTTCCACATGCTACAGCATGCCCTTTGAATATTATCAGGACCTCGAAGATATATTGAAGCAACGTTGGGGCAAGATCCCTTTATCAGTTGGTAATAATTAGTCAAAAATGTAGCGCACTGGAAAAAAAAACACATTGGATCTAGAGTCCAGACTCTTAAAAACATCGAAAAGAAAAAATATTCTTGATTCAATCAGATTTAAGTTTAGATTAAGAACCAAGCCTCTTAATTTGAGTGGATTTCCTTTTGATTTAAGCTTAAATGGACTGAGTTAAGCAGAAAGGAACCAACCATTATTTTGGAAAAAATTGAGTTATGAGTGATTTTGAACTCAACCACTGCTCTACTATCTATCGCCAAAAATTCAAAGATTTTGTTGGAGCAAATTTTGCAGAAATTGAACTTGAAGTTTATCTTTTACATTGAGTCTTATGCAGGAGCCAAACTTTAAACCTCTTTTTCTCGGTTCGATCTCGATGTGGCTTGGTTCCTTTCTGTTTAACTCCGTCCAAATCTGATTGAATCAAGAGTTCTTCTACTTGTCAATGTTTTCAAGAGTCTGGACTCTAGATCCAATGTGTTTTTTTTTTTCCAGTGCGGTTAGGCTTTTTATCAACTGAGCTACTGAAATGCTGTCAAAGCTAGCATGCCTATTTTAAATTTTAAACGAGCGGCTGGGAAATAGAAGCTGAGTGGGGCAAGGAACTTGCTGGAAATGAAAACAGAGCTGCTGCTCGGAAAGTGAATCCGGAATACGGAAGACAAACAGACCGGGGAGCGGTGAGCAAACGCGAGGAAATCAGGTTGGTGCCAGAACATAATGAGATCTCGGCTCGATTGATTGCAGAACTCATTTCTATCGCTATGTAAACCCACCGACAAATTCTCTCCTATCCAGCATTTCCTAATTGCGAGATTGTTGAATTTGAGCGGCTTATTTTCGGCGCCTATAGCCGCGTCCGTTCAGAAAAAAAATATTGCTGAATATGAAGCTTTGAAAGCTCTGGAATTGGCAAATTTGCTGAATAATTTGACATTCCGCCGCCAAATTCTTTTCATGATGCACTAGGTACTTGTTCCTCAATCCCTCTTCCCAGGTCGCTTTCGACATTCGCTTCATGCACATCATACAGTGGAGTCCATCCTGTTATAACCAATCAATTTTTCTGTTTCTAGATACCTAGAGTTGAAACACCGAAATGCATGAGGAGGGTTGCTCCATAGAAGGGTTCAAAATTGAGACATTGGGTGCAGAAAGGGCATTTGTTGGTTGTGGCGCGGCGTTTCAGAATCTCCACTGTTAATTTATATTTCAGAGAAGAGTCTATTGGGTGGATTTTCTGAAATTTTACGTCTCCAGCATTGTAAAATCATAGAGAATATTCAGTAAAGTTAATTACACACATTTGCTTTTATTATAATGGATGAAACGTTGTATTTCTTTTTATTTTATTTTACACATTTCGTACATGAGCGCCGATGAGCAATGGTTAAGGCCATGAATGGATTTGAACTGTAAAAAAATAGATTAATTTTTTAAAAACTAACCGAGACAGCTTGGTATTGCATTTTACAAAGCTTACTGTAGCTAAGGGATCAGTTAAGTTTTCAAAAAAGTTAAGGGTGCACTTGAAAATTCATCTAAGTTATCAAAGACCATCTAAACATCGTATCATATAAATGTTAGCAAAGATTCTGAGACACCGCAACCAAGAAATTTGTCGCGATTATCCTGTTTATCGATTCCCATATTATATTATGTTATTTTCCCATAGGTTTAAATGACAGATAAGTCGATTTTTCGCAAAGCGCGCTCCACCACCGGACAGGAACGCGAACGTCAGAGCGTCAAGAATGCAAAAAAACCCAATTTGAAAAATTGGAAAATTGGACTCCCACCCTTTTTAAAAGTACTGATTCAAATAAAATTTAAGATCATTTTTCACGGAAAGTCTCCGTGAGCTATCAATTCAACATCCTTTATCGGTTCAATCACAGCTCATGAAGTAATATAATCGTGTTTCTTCAAGCAGATAACTATCTACGATCATCGGCATGTTTGTGGCCTATGTGGAAAAATTGAAGGCGAACCTCTAGTGGACGATATATTATACCAATATGCTTACATATTGTGTACCTGCTCTGGCTAAGTCTACTAAGAATGATGACTGTAAGTTTTGAAATAGATGATTTGTCCACACTCTCAAGTAAAAGTAGATTATTCTGTGTCTTAAAACGCATAATCACGAAGTTCCTGTTTTTAAAAGACATGTCATTCATCGTGAAATTTAAGGTTGCGAATTGGCTCGAGTATACTATCACTATTCGTCGTTACCTCCACAAAAGAAAGTAACTACATTTAAATGTTGCCAAATTGTCCCTCCTAAATTGCATTTTGTCCGGTTTGGCATTTTGACTGAAAATTTTGCCTATGTAAAAATCATAAAAATTTTGAAAAAAAAGTAGTCAAGGACATTCTTGTCAAAAATTTAATAGAATGAGTCAATTTTGCAACCTTGAAATGGAATTACGTTTCTCCATGCGGAAAGCGACATTCTGACGTGCACTCAATTATTATTCGACAAGGACCATGGTTATTTCAACCAAAAGGGCACTAAAAAAAAATAAAAACTCTTAAAATCAGTTTATAATCGAATAAATTTATTAAAACACATTTTTAAAGGGAGAGTAGTCAAAGTCATCGGTAACATTTCATCAGAATTTCTAAATTGCACGAGATGCTGTGATCAGGAAACGATTTCTTGCACATCACGAAGTTGCAAATGTCTACTATGTCGATGGTAAAACTGCAGAAATGCGTATCTCAGTTTGCGGCGTTGCAGACTTCCTGACATATTTTATATTCTACATGGAAAACTACTGAATCTCATTTTTCAATTTCAAAGATTTTTCTCCTCTATTTAAAGAATATTCTGTGAAAACTTCAAGCCATGATGTTGGCTCGGTCTTCTTTTAAAAACAAATAAGGAGCGAAGATTTCGCAACACCGCAACACATTTTTGCTGTTCTCCCGTCGATATTCTCCCAGAATATTGGAGTTCACTATTATTTGCAGAATATAAAAATTTTAGGCGAATACCTCATCGCCCGGCTGACAAAAAGGGCGTAACCACACATTGAAATGAGCCCGGAAAAGCATTGCATTGTATGGATGACAGGGTCCACTGCAGAGTGTATTTACTCCCTTACGTCACGAAGACGAGGAACTGTTTGCAGTTTGCAAATTCGTCGTGTGGCGCTTACGTGTGTAGATTAACGCAGGCAAATGACGGCGACTCCTCCACATATTTGTGAGTGACTAATACTGACGGAACTTTGTATATAAATTAGTATTACGTCAAGTTCGGCTATCAGGCTATTATCGCTCCGCTCGTAAAAAGATAAAACAATAAATGGTGCACAATATATAGGGCAACAGAATCCCCGTCGAAAGTACTTGCAAGGTCACGTCCTCTCAATTTCTTCAGAAAAGGTGCGACAAAGTTACCTACAACGTTTACTCAAAATAAATGTGATACTAAAGCCACTCGTTCCACTCGAGTGAACAAATAGTTGTACCTATTTACGTCTGCAGATGCGCGTCTGCTATATTACCGTGCTAAGGAAGAACGCCGTGTTAACATTCGGATGTTGTCAAAATTTCCTAACGGGAAGTATTTATTTTCGAGGAAAGTTCTGAGTATTCTTTTTTGGAATTTTCGGACATTTTAGATAAAATTACGAACGAAACTCTCCGAAAAGTTGGCAGAGAAATATCCACAAAATTTCTCGAAAAATCGTGATTTGTCAAAGGAAATTTGACAACGTCTGACGGCTTACGCGGCGTTCTCCCTTAGCAAGGCAGCGTACCGTGAGTCTTGTTATTTCCTTATTTGACACTTTAATTTACGTTTTTTGGAAAATGTCTGTACGATGAGCCATCAGACGCGTGTCTGAGTGAGGTAGTCTTGTTGCGGCGCGTCGCTCTGCATTTGTTTTGGAACGATTTTCAGAAACGCGCCAAACGTAAAACGACATTTTGATACATTACATTGTAGAATGGCAACACTCCCCATTCTTGCACTTACTTCATTGGGCTATCTTCACACCTCACTTGGACTACATTTTGAAATTAGGAACTGCACTGAAAAATATTACGGGCTATATAGACATACCGTCCGTTCCGCGCGGGCTCAGAGGCCGAAAGTTCCGGATGGCGGGGCCTTAGCTAAGACTGCCCCGAATGTTCCGCCCGGAACTTTCGGCTTCTGAGCCCGGAAGGCGAACGGTGTGTGGTGTGTCTATGTAACCCGTAAGTACGGCTTCCGAGGCCGGAGTTTTTATTTTTTAGTGTGAAATTTCTGGCTCGGTTAAAAAACATCATATATGGACATATTTCTGTTAAACGGAACTAAGCGTCAAATTGAATTCCTTTTGAGGATTTTAGAATCCTGGTTAGCGCGTTCTGTCGAACGGAACTAAGCGCCATGAAAAAGCATTGCGAGTATGCGAGTATAGGACGGAAAGAGCATCGCGTACCGCAACACCCGCCAATCCAAGCCTCCCTCTCCCTTCCTCCCCCGATGGCGCTTAGTTCCGTTTGATAGAAATACGTCCATATACAAGTATACCTTTATTTTCCCTATGCATACAAGCGATTTTACGGATGGGCCAGAAATTGTAGTTCCTATAAATTACAAAATATTGTCCATTTGATGGATGTGCATTGTGCGGTGCGACTAACCTCTGTTTCGTAATGCATTTCGAGGGTTTTTTGCCCCTTTTTTTAGTGAAGAAGAATAATGTCCATAATGGACCACTGGACAAGGTACAAATTTAAGCAATCTGATACATGTTTCTTAACCAGAATTTTACGTAGAACACGATTCACACAACGAAAATTACTGAACCCAACTCCTAACGGAGTTATTAATATTTTTATTTCACATTGGTTACGAGGAATTTGAACTGCCCGCTCACAAGAAACTCAAAGATCTACGGAAGTCAAATCGCGCACTACAACGGTTTCAGCAAGCATCTCAATCGAGCAATGTTCATTTCTCACCATGTGTTTTTCAAACCATAAGTAATTTGCAATAGCTGAGCCAAAGCGTCAAGATTGAGGTTGCCTGATTTTTTTATCGCAGAGACTGCCATGATATCGTTTAGCGCGCGATGTGAATCACGTAGAGCATGGAGTTTTCATGAGCGGGTGGTTTGAATTCACGCATCAAGAATCATTAAATATCTTCGTAAGGAGTTAATTGCGGTAAATTTTGCTGTGCGCATCGAGTTTTACTTGTAATTTTGGTTACGAAACATGTATCAGAATGCTGAAATGCGTACCTTGTCTAGTGGTCCATTGCCCTCTCATTCTGAGGGGTTCACCTTGCGGTACCACTGCAGCCAGGGATTTCGCGTCGAGGTACGCAGACTTTGGTGAGGCGGTTGAAGGCTCGTCCAGCCTCGCATCCAGCCACACGGTACGAGCGGTCTCGGTAGCAGATTATGAACTTGTCACACGAGTCCAGGTACGGGTAGCGAGCATGGTCTCCGAATTGGAGATAGGTCTCCTCCGGACATCGCCAGTTCGAAAGCGCCGGGTCACACGGAGCTGTTAAATAGTAAATATACACATGGTAAAACGATAAAAGACATGTTGTGCCTACTTTGATTGTGATCATGCAAAATATCCATCTTTTTTAGCCTCCCTATTAATATAAAATAATTTGCCTTCTCTTGACGCTTGCATGAGCCCCTGTAACTTTCTTTGTACATGTATTTTACCTATCGATTAGGGGTCGCGATCTAAGACCGCCGAATTGGAACCTTACATTTCTGGCTTAGTTTAGAAACAATCTATGTCTCATTAGTTTCCCCTCGCACATAAGTGTTTTTATATTGGAGCGGCAAAATTGTAGTTCCTAATTGAAAAATGTAGTCCCAATTCGCAAAGCAACTAAACCAAGCAGCCTCCCAACTCATTTATCGGTTAGAAAAGATTACAAGGTGAAAATTTGCAAAGTTAGATAACTCAATTTTCCATTTGTTTTCTTCCCTAGTAAAAATTGGCGATAGGAGCTGCGTCTCAAAATACTATGAGAATTCTTATAGCCGGCTAAAGGAGGCGATAGAAAATCATATAGCTGGCTGTAGAAAGCGGAGAAAATCATAGAGCCGGGCTATAGGAAGCGATAAAAAATTATGACGCGGGCTATAGTTCCTATCGCCGAATTATACACCTTATCGTCATCTGCTATGAAAGGCTATAAGAAATTGTGTAGAAATTCGTGTGCTTTGAAAATCATTAAGTTTGATACGGAACCATCTTAATATTTACAAAACACACATTCTATTTTCCTTTAATACATATTGTTTTAATCAATTAACATGAGAATAATCCATACAGAGCGTGCAAACATTTCAAAATCATGAGTTGAAAAACGCTGACTCCGCCAGATTAAATGTTAGAGCCTAACACAAAGCGGAGCGGCGACGCACTGGCGCCTACAAACCTAACAGGGATACTTCACGCATTGCACAACGCGTGAAGTATCCCTGTTAGGTTTGTAGGCGCCAATGTGCGTTCAGCGCTGGCTGCCCGCCGCGCCGCAGCGTACCGCGGCGCTTGAAGCAACTATTTCACACCAGAGGTATTGCACAGTATCATACGAAATTGAAGGCGCTCCAACATATTAGGAATGGCAGGCATCCATCAAAAGTACGGAGCTTTCCTCGCAAAATAAATCAAGATACTACGGCCCAAAAAGAGAGCGGTAGTCAAAAAACTCACTAAGTCTTAGCATCCGTAATTGGTAACATTTAGTATGCACTTTATCGCCTGGCTGTTGCTTCATCGCCATCGGCTATATAAGGCTATAAGAAATTGTGTATCCGGCTAAGGAAGCTATTGGAAATCTAACAGTCGGCTGTAGGTCTATGGTATTTTGGAACACAGATTCTACTGCCAATTTTTACCAGGGTTCGCCTATCATTTTGTCTATCAATTTCAACAATCAGCCCGCGCTGAAGTACTTAAAACTGGCTCGACTCTCTCGATTTTCATAAGGATTTACTCTCCAATTTTATTTTTAACACGTTTTGCTACGGTTGATTGAAAATGCGTCTACTTAGATGAAATCCTAGACATATTGTTCTAAGACTATCTTGAGATTGTAAGAGGGGCCTGGAACATACGACAAGGCGCATAAGTGCAGTTTTTGCTATTTCGAGAAGTACGTGTTTGAAGTTTCGAAATTACACGGATGCTTCCGGCGGAAGGAAAGTTCAAACTGACAATTTGATGTTTAGAAATTTGGGAGTGAATTTTTTTCAGGTTATCATGCATTAAGACTAATTTTACTCGAAATCATTAATACCTCAATTTGTTCAAAAACTGCACTTATGCGCCTTATCCTCCAAGCCCCTCATATTATCGTTGCAAACTTACTTGAGGGACAACCAATTGGGGCTTGCGGTGCACTCTGAAGGGGGTGTGAAGAGAAGGAGATTTCAGCGGATACGGAGGCAGGAGGCCTGAGCGTTGTGGGCGACTGCGTTGTCGGCTGCACCGTTTCAGTATGTTGTGGTTGCTGAACTGCTGGAGATGGTTTCGAAGGCCTCTCCGTTAAGTTTAGCTCCTGACTCGTGGCTAAAGGGAGAACATTTGTGATTGTTTTATTTTTCTCGCTGAATTTTTCATTACATGGTAAATGAAATTAGATTTCCTCTAGAATTACTTTACCTACCGTTGGATCGTTTGTAATTTTTACTGGGATAAAAAAAAGATGAATCGTACTTAACTAAATTTTGCATTTATCTGAATTCAAGGGGCATGAAGAAATATTTGGAGTGTCCTTTAAGATAGAATAGGTATTTTCCGAGCATTAAAGACTCTATTCATCTTTTAAACAGAGGGTTTTAAAGTGGTCTATTGATTTAGCCCCTTTAACGCCTTCAGTTTGAACGAAGAAAGGCAAAATAGGACCAAACATCATAGAGACCTTTCACGAACCACGAGTTGTACTGGCAGTGTATACGGCTTATAGAAAATTTTATATTGAAAGATCTAATAATATTATGGGCATAAAGGTTTTCTTTAAATGCTTACTTCAGGCGTTTTGCCAACAACATTAATAGTAAATATCGAAGCTAGGAAGGAGACGGCATAACGCCTTCAATTTTTGAGTATGCAATATGGACATACATTGAGCACGAATAGTTGTATCTAGGCAATCGTATGTTGTAAGCACTGGTTAGAATCGAATTTATTCCACTCAACATCGCAGATTAAAAAAAAAATTACAAGTAAAATTGAAAGATGTTTTCATTCAAATAAAATAAACTGTGACAGTAAGTCTGCAACGTCGCAAACCGAGGTACGCAATTCTGCAATCTATTCAATGTCAACTAGTGGTACCAACTGACAAACGCCTACGTGCAACTATTCATGCTCGGTGGATGTCCATGTTGCATACTCAAAAATTGAAGGCGTTATGCCTGTCTTTGCCATTGCTCCGACACGCTCCGAACGCTGGGTCAAGATTTACCTGGGCGAGAAGTCTGGAAGGAAATACTCAGTGGGCGGGAAGGGATGAGATTGATGACTTGGAGAGCGGACTGAGCGGACTGAGCGACCGCCGATACGACGTCAGGGACACTAGGGACGACGATGGAAGGGATGTCCGTCCGGTTGGGTTTCGGGGCCTCGACGGGTCGCGGCGGGAGTTGCGGGGCGCAGTTGACGCGGTCCTCGTTGGTCTGGGCCCTGCACGTCTTGTTGACGTCGTCGAAGGACTGCTGAGGCGGGCAGCGCCCCAGGGACGCCTTGTTGTTCTCGCACACGACGAAGCGACCGCAGCCGGCAGGATCCGCCCGGATCTCGTTCCGCCGCCGGCAGGGTGCCGTTCCCCGAGGGATTTCTGCAAAGGCCAAACAACAAACGCTAAAAGTTTTAAGGACAACCACACAGCAGAACTTAGAACTTTTAGTGGTAGGGAGCAAAAGGGCACCTCATCAGGGAGGTTCACCGGGGCACAAAAACATATCCCGTCGAGGGATCTGTAGAACTCCCTTAACCACAGTGGATCGAATCAATGGGAGAGGTCGGACATGATTTAGAAACTTTAAAAGCATATATCTTCATTAATATGCAATTTTGATGTTTTAGAAATAGTTTCATTGGTTTTCTCTTAAAATTGTCTATAAAAAGCACCCCTTAAAATTAAAATTGTGATGAGATAAACGTAAAATTTTACAATTTTTGTCAAAATGTTCATGTCCGACTTCTTCCATTGACTCGATCCACAGTGCGGCAATGCGGGGAGCCTTCTAGTACCCAGGAGGCCTCTCCCAGAAATAATTTTGAGAAATTGAGTCGTCTCAGGTGCAATTGTGAGCAGTTTTTAGCAGCAACTGGATCGAATTAAAAAGTCAAAGATGGAAAATATGTCCTAAATGCTTCTTTAGCACTCCTCACATTTCTCGAGAAGGTCCAAGAAGATTGCTGGAGGGGCTGCCCCCTCCCTCTTCCTGCCCGGCACAATATTATTATTCCACCCATGCAACCACAGAACAATAGAATAATTACTATCAGATGGATAACTCTGGCCATTTTTGCCCCGCTATTCTTGAGATCCCCGAGCGCGCTTCCAAGTTTTCTCGCCAAAATGGATCCAGGTCCATCCGCTCTCATTTAGTGGACCTCTATCTTCTTAACTGCTGTTTCAAATTGTCTGTGGAAACGGCCACCTATTCGTCTAAAAAATACATCTGCAACATCTCAAACCAAGGTACGCGTCTCTGCAGATTCACCTTCGATATAAACTGAACTGAATACTTGCGATTTTAACTTTAGAGTTTTCAACACACGTCCACACTTCCACCGTTTTCTATCGAGTGGTGCTCTTACCATGTAAGGAGGGATATTAACAAGGGTCGTTTTTCGGCCAACGCCTTCCCTCAGCTGAATTTCCTGAACTCTACAATTCTTTCCTCGTCGAAGATACCTATATTTTACAGAATGCATCAGAGTCTGGTTATATCCGATCTCTATTCAGATCAAATGGACGTATTTCTGTCAAACGGAACTAAGCGCCAATTTGAGTTCCTTTTGAGGAATTTAGAATGCCGGATAGCGCGTTCTGTCAAACGGAACTAAGCGCCATGGAAAAGCATTGCGGGTATAGGACAGAACGAGCCCAACGCCCGTTTCTGCCGCCAATCCAAGCCGCCCTCTACCTTCCTTACCCTATGGCGCTTAGTTCCGTTTGATAGAAATAGTCCAAATATTGACCTAAACATACGTCTGAAGGCTGATTTTGGTAAAAATGCGAATTTTTCAGCACACCACCACAAACCCTCAAAACTCGCATTTCTTACCAAAATCAGCCTACGTACAGATCTATGTTCAGGCCAATGTTAGATCCGAATAGGGACCAAAAATGATCATTTCATGATGCATTCCGTGAGACATGGACCCTCAATGAGCGAAAAATCGTCGAGTTAAGGAAATTCAGGGTGGACGCAAAAATGGACCATATCGATACCTCTCCTCGGGTAGTCCCGAATCATTTAAACCAATATTGTGTTTTAAAAAGTCATCACTGGAAAAAAAACACATTGGATCTAGAGTCCAGACTCTTAAAAACATCGACAAGAAAAAATACTCTTGATTTAATCAGATTTAAGCTTAAATCAAGAACCAAGCCTGTTAATTTGAGAGGATTTCCTTTTGATGTAAGCTCAAATCTGATTGAATCAAGAGTCCTTTTTCTTTTCAATGTTTTCAAGAGTCTGGACTCTAGATCCAATGTGTATTTCTTGTCAGTGATTGGCGGATCCAGCAAATTGGCAACGCTGTCTTTTCTCCTTTTAAACCTATGGAAATGTATCGATGCTTGGAGGGGCCGGGTGCTTCGACAAGAATCGATTATTTAGCATAGGTTCAACGGGAGAAAATCCAACGTTGTCAAATTGCTGGATCCGCCTTTATATGGACTGCGGTGTACCACTAAGATGTAGATTAAACGGTAAACACTGTAAAAGATGGTGAACTTACGAAGCCGAGGACGCTTGGAGCAATCGACCGTGTGCACGAGTTTGCAGCCCTTGTAGGGAGTGTAGGCAAATCCATCGTCGCATTGGAAGGCTTTGATTTTGCCATTATCGCAGTAGTAGAATTGGTCGCAGAACACTGGATTCATAACCGGGTAAGTTCCGTTGCGGTATTTTGTGTCGCATTTCGGCAAAGTTGGTCGAACGTTGCTGCTCGTACTCGGTGCCGCTGGAAACAGGATAACGACGGTGAAACTACCATACAGAGACAAGAGACCCTCCACTGGCCTCCTAGCGACAGGTGGAAGCTTTTACTTTCGGGGTTTCAACAATTCCTTATGGACAATTATGAGCGAGCAACAGTCATCACCATATTTTCGGCTGTTGACTTACCTACATGGTCGATGATGAGCTTCGGATGACGTCATAAGCCAAACAACTTTCCCAAACGTCGGCCATTTTCGGCTTGTTTGCAAAACGAAACTGCCAACACGTTGTTGAACATCAACCATGTAGGTAAGTCAACAGTAGAATGCTGAAGTCCCGAAAGTAAAAGCTTCCACCATAGCCAAGTTACTAGTGGAGGGTCTCTTGTCTCTGCTACCATACCACGTATCTCGTTTGCGGTGTTTGAAAATCTCCACTCCAATTTCGTTTTTTTTAAAAAAAGAACGAATCAATATCAATAAAACGAGTACCATGAAGGTTCAACAAGTAAGAGTTTGCCGGGGGTTCTCCTGTGGTAGTGATCACCATTTTCTCAAGGCGGAGATTGCATTTCCGGTTAAGTATGGGCTGCAGAGGAATACCTTGCAACATCAGAAGTGCCAGCCACAAGGAACGAAGATCGAACAAGTGCACTACAACATCGATAGCTTACAGCATGAAAGCGTGAAAGCGCTCTACAGGAAGCGGCTGGATGAGAAACTGGGAGTAGAAACTTTCGATACTGCAGAAGAGTTGTACCAGTTCATCAAAAGTTGCATACATTCAGCTGCGAAGGAAGCCCTGGGTATGTGTAATGAGAGCAAGGATGTACAGAAACCCTACTGGTGGGACAAAGAGGTAGAGGAGGTAATTGAAGAAAAGCGTAGGAAGTACCATGATTATCTGGCTTCTAGGACTGCAGACACCCGCGGCGCGTATAGGAAAGCCCAGGCGAGGGTTCGTCTTTTAATCACCAGGAAGAAAAACGAGTCTTGGGAGGCCAACTGCTCAAGGATTGACACATACCTGGGGGGAAGGAAGAGTGCTGAGAGCTGGAAGCTGATCAAAGGCCTAAGAAGGGACATGAAACGGGACATTATATCTCCGATAACAATCTCACAGCTTGACGAACATTTTAATAAATTATTGACGGAAGGACGACCAGAGTTTCAAACGGGGAATGCTGAAAATATAGTCGAGGATCACTCAATGGAAATTCGAGTTGAGGAGGTGGTCAAAGCAATCAGGGAATTGATGAATGGAAGAGCTCCTGGGCCAGGAAACATTCCAGCCGAGTTAATTAAATGTGGGACTGGCAAGTTGGTTAACCATCTCAGGGATTTGCTGCAGAAGTGCATTGACGGTGATGACATCCCGAAAGAATGGAAAGAGGCCTGGATAACAGCGTCGCATAAAAAAGGAAGGAAGGATGACTGTGGGAACTACAGAGGGTTAGCGGTGACAGGAACGATAAGTAAAATTTATGGAAAAGTGCTGAAAGCGAAGATCGAAGAGGAGTGGACCCCGTTCGAGGCGGAGGAGCAAGCAGGTTTTAGGGCTGGTCGGTCTACCGCTGATCATCTGTTCTGTGTTACCCAGTTAACCGAAAAGAAGAGAATTGTTGGCCAGGAGCTTCATTTAGTGTTTTTGGATATTGAAAAGGCTTATGATAGTATTCCTCTTGTGAAACTCTGGGAAGTCCTAGAAGAAACTGGTTTTAGTAAAGGACTTATTGGGGCAGTCAAGCAGTTTTATCGGGGGGCTTTTGCTAGAATTAAGTGCCAAGGAAGGCTTTCAGACGGTTTTTTTGTCACCAAGGGGCTTAAGCAGGGATGTTGTCTGTCACCGACGCTGTTTAAGATATATCTAGAGCACGTTCTGAAGGAATGGAAAAGAAAGTGTGCCGGCATGGGCGTCCCTCTAAATGACCAAGAAACACTGTTCACGCTATGCTTTGCTGACGACCAGGTAGTCATAAGTCAAGATCACGATGACGCGGAGTATATGACCCGGAAGTTGGTGGAGGAGTACCGCAAATGGGGCCTCGAGGTTAGTGTCCGTAAGACAAAAAAGATGTCAGTCGGAGGCGCTCAGCAAAGCATAGTCCTGGAGGATGGTCAACATATAGAAAGTTGCGAACAATACAAGTACCTGGGGGTGAACCTGACTTCGGATGGGAAGCTGGATCAGGCCATTCGGGACCGTAATCTTCTAGGAAGGAAAGCCATCGCCATGCTTAATGGGATCCTTTGGGACCAAAGGATTTCCAAAGACAACAAGAAGAGGATTTATAACTCGGTTGTCAAGCCTATTATCACCTATGGCAGTGAAGTGTGGCAGTTGAAGAAGCGGACCCAAGAAATGCTCAAGGCGACCGAGATGGATTTCTGGCGAAGATCGGCTGGAATCTCGAGGAGAGAACGTGTCAGGAATGAACGTGTCCGAGAGATAATGGGCGTTGAGGGGACGATTGTGCACGATATCATGACCAAGCAATTGGTATGGTATGGGCATGTGCAGAGAATGGCTGATACCAGGTTGCCGAAGAAGGTGTTGGAGTGGGTCCCCCCAGGTAGGCGACGGAGAGGGCGTCCAGCCAAACGGTGGGTAGAGGGCATCCATGAAGAGATGGAGAGATGCCAGCTTCCGGAGGATCTCTACCATGACAGATTCCTGTGGAGAATAGGCGTCGCAGAGCGCCCTAGCGCGCCGTAAAAGCGGCTCATACATACATACGAATCAATATAATTTCTCGAACTTTTTACAGAGCTTCTCTTACACGAGAAGAAAAATCAGGAAAGTTTTCAAGAATTGACGTTGGGTGGTTACCCATTTAAAAAATACCTAAAATATGACAGGAAGTCTACAACGTCGCAAACCGAGATACGTGATCTGGTAGTTTCACCGTCGATAAGCTTTTATCCGCACAGGTTCATTTGGACCGCGTTTAGCAAAAAGGAACCAAACCACATCAGCTATTCCCAATTTTACTAGGGCATTTAGTTTTTTTCAAGAGAAGGTTTGTGCGGATCACTCTGAAAATTTTAAGGAATTTGCTTCAAGCTATGCAGAACATTCAATGAAATTTGAGAAAAAGCCCGCACAGCCGTTTTCATGTAAAATATTAAATTGAAATAATTGGCAGCAGCTGATGAGGCTTTGTTTCTTTTTTGCTTAGCGCGGTCCATTTTTAGGATCTCTTTTTGCTTAACCATAGAAATGAATTCGGAATAACGAGACATCCCACATGCGACATCCTCAAATGGCTAGCCTTCATTTGAGCAGTTAGACAACAAGAATTCATACGAAGATATCGAGAAGGTGGACCATACTCAGTTGCTGCGTTGCCAGGGGGGGGGGGGGCCCGGTCCAGGGCTTCTTGGTTGATAGGGGGGTCAGCCCCGGTCCAGGGCTTCTTGGTTGCCGGGGGGTCCAGCCTCGGTCCGCCCTGGACGGGGGCTGCCACCCCGGCTCCTGGGCGGCTCCCGGCTTTGGCTTCTTAGTTGCCAGGTGGGCGGTACATTTCTGTAATTCGTACCCCGGCTCTGAAGTCCATGAGACGCCTTCAAATGGCGGGGTATGCAATATGACTGCCTTGACGCACGAATAGTGGTATCAGAATTTTGCATTAAGTTTACGGATCGATTTGAAGGCGCTCTGCTGTTTCCATTGTGAGTGGCCATGTACAATGATGTTGGCCAATAAGTTCATAATTTTTTGTTTTCAATCGAGCCGCATAATTGACAAATGCGGAGGAATAGTATTTTGAAAAGTTAATAAGATTACGTTTGGTCTCTCCGCCCTAATTCGAAGAAGAGAGCGTAGGCAGCTGGAGCAGATTTTATATTTTAGGTCCCTTGGTTTGGTTATTGTATTCTGAAGTGAAACTGAAAGAGTCGCCTTTTACAAGATCACAACTTACTCAAAAGCGGTTGCGAAAAGTTTTGCACGGATAAAATGAGCTTTCTTTGATTAACTGGATTGCAGTTTGCAAAAAGTAACCACTAGCATTGCAATGTTGCTAAGATTGTGCAACTTCTTTTGTCCTGGAGGAATAACCCGATTATCCATTAATAGTTTCTATTTTACTCTCAAAAAACTGTAAATTTAAGACAAAAATTACCATCTAAATTTCATAGTTTTTCACGATTTCCGCAATTTTATTGCAAAAGATGAAGTTGCACAATCTTAGCATCATTGCAATGCTAGTGGTTCCTTTTTTCAAAATGCAATCCAACTATTAATAATCAAAATTGAAGAAAAGGTAATTGGTCCACTGGTCCATTAGGAAAGCGTAAAGCATGAATGGATGGAGCATCGATGACCAACTAAATCTTATCTGATAAGGAATTTTAAGTGTGAAACCCTTTTTTCAGTCGTTAAATGATCCAAATCCACTATCAAGTTTAAAACACTAATTGCAAAAATGCGTATCTCCTGATGAAGTATCGATTCTTAGTGCAAAAACGTGAATCTCGGCATTTCTGCCGTATTTTCTAACAGTTCGAGAAATCTCATTGAAACTGCTGGTGGAGTTTGAAAAAACATCTTATTCTTGCCATCCTCAAGAATTATTAATAAGAAGGGTAGAAGGTTAATCCCTTCTACCGTCAATAAAGAGGAATGCAGACAGTTTTTTTTACTCTCCTGGAAAATCGTGTTTTCCGAGATTCGCACTTCTGCACTTTCACCATCTATAAAGTGCTTTAGTATCGTTTAATTAACTTTTCCACAGGCAGTGATTATGATTGTTTAGTCAGTAATTTTTTTTTCTCATTAATTTCTTCACAAAAATTCTGAGGTATATATGTTGCATGCAATTAGCAATCGCCGGTAAATTGCAATCTATTCGTGTTTAATCAACAAATTTAATCGTTTTAAAGTGAAAAACGAGATTGGAAGTAGGGATTATTATGCTTTGAATTCAAACATACGTTAGCCCCTTCTTCTTGGATAGGTACATGGTGCCAGCTAGCACACTCGCGAGTTCGTGAAATGCCATCAATAATCTGTGTTAGGTTCGGTTAAGCAACTAAACTAACTCCTTGGCAAAGCGAAGAGTATCGCTGGATTTGAAGGCGTAAAGAAATCTTTACTACATCGATGTTATCGTAATTACAATTTGACGAATTGACAAGTACGGAGCTTGCAAATTGCCGGCGATTGTTGACTCCCTGCGACTTATGCACTGATACCTAAAGATTTCAGAGATATTTATTTTCATCTTTAAGTTTACATATGCTTTTCTCTCTTCTAATCAGCATGTGTGTTTCTATTTTGTTTTTGGTGCATCCCTCGAAATTCTTGGATTAAAAAGTCGATGATCATCCTGGACAACGCAAATCGTCAATAAAAATAATGGGATCGTTCAATTAAACGGGACACTTGCTTCACTTAATTGAATCTTCGAATTAACTGGAAACTCAAATTTACCACAGATCCAACTCAACCGAAAACCTGACCCTGCTAACCAAAACTTTACTCAACCGGTGATCTTACCCACCGGAAACTCAAATCAATCAACCAATCGTCCGGCCGAATTTTACTTAACCGGAAATCGACAACCGTAAACTCTGCTCGACCGGAAAACGTGCTCCAATCGAAAACTTGACCCAACTGGAAATTCGATCCAACCTGAAATCAGACCCATCCCAAAATTCCAATTCACTGGAACCGTACTTCATCCATATATGACGTGACCGGAAATTAACCCAACTGGAAACTGTTTCCAACCGGTAACGTGTCCCTGTCGAAAATTTGACTCGACTGAAAATTTTATTCGATCGGAAATCTGACCGACCGGAAACCACAATCAACGGGATTCGTTATCCACCCGAAATTTCACTTGACCGGAAATCGAAAATCTTAATTTCTACTCGACCGGAAATGTGCCCCAATCGAAAACTTGACTCAACTGGAAATCGACTCGACCGGAAATGTATTCAAACTCTAAATTTGGTTGTTCTCGGATGGAGAATAACCAATATTTCATTGATTTTCCTAAAAAATCGCAAACATTCGGTTTAAGCGATTGATACATCGACTCGTTAACGTTAAAAATCGATTCTACAAGAAAAATACGTAGGCACCGGTGTACTACAGTCATATTAGGTGCATTTAGTCATCCATGAATCAAAAATGAACAATTTCAATCTCAAAAAATCGTCGATTTTTCGTAAAGAATCTTAAAAAATCGATATATCGACTCGTCAACATCAAAACTCGATTTTGCGTGTAAAAATACGTAGGAACCGGTGTGTATAACATGTGTTAACAACGGTAACAACCTCGTAGGCACATCAATTCAACAAGAAAATAGCGAAAAATAAGGCCGTAGTTTGACCCCTTTTGCCCCCGTGTAACTCGAAAACGGTTCCTATACTCATCTTGAAATTTTCTCCTGAGTTTTCCGTTATTATAAGCTTCCACTTAGACCTTGGTTCGTTGGTCGAATCGAATACCGAAAAAGGGGCGACATTTTGGGAGTCTCTTTCCTCACCTTTGTATCCAATCCCCCCGCTACGCCTATCATTATCGCTGACGACGTATTTTGGAAAATCGCTCTAAGCCAAGGGAATTTTCCAAGAGAAGGAAAATATAAGTGATTAGGTCTGGAACCATTGCTTATCAGCTCCTGATACCGAGCGGTTTGCAATGTGTCAGCAAAGGGTTTCTTATGCGGAAAATTCAAGCTCTGACTTTATCCATCAAATCGTGTAAAAATGTTTTCTTAGAGGCTGGCACTGACAGTGAAAAATTCAAACCCCATTTTTGTCGAAATAAAGACAGCGTTCGGTCTTCAAACCTCAAATTATCGTATCGTGACGAAGAGTCTTGTATTGTTAATTTTATCCTTGGCTTACCGACTGGTTTGACCTGGTGATAGACTTCTGGCCGCTCGATCTCATAGAGGAAGGGTAGTTTAGCCGCGGCAGCGCAAGTACCTAGACACCAAATCCCTAAGACAAGTGCACAAAGGGTGCGATTCATTACGAAGGTGCCCGCGAGGGATGAACGACACAACACATGGATGGGTTCGGCATCGAAGATGTTCAAGTCGCGGAATGCATCGGGTCATTCTGGAGCTTAATCCTTGCCGCTGAGGCAATTAAATTCCAATTTGAGGCAGTCCGATACGACATAGTATCATTTAATTCTTGCTTTGATGCGACGAGACGCCTAGTGGCTGTCCGATTCAAGTTCGAATATAGTCCTCTCGTGTAAAACGTCGTCTCCTCCATTTTAGAGGATCTCTGAATTTGCACCTCGGCGAATTTTTCTGATCAGCACCTGAGAAAATTTGCAGGGTCCCTTAATACGTAGTTTTTCAGAGGGTTCAGTAATTTCCGACACTTTATTGCGAAAAATAAAGGGGAAATAAGAAACAGGAATTTCAAAAATCGATGGCTAAAGTGTGAAACCATCCCTTCCCGCAAACTGCATCTATAGAACGGACATCCCTTCCATCGTCGTCCCTTGTGTCCCTGACGTCGCGTGCGTCTTATCGGCGGTTGCTCAGCCCGCCCTCCAGGTCATCAACCTCATCCCTTCCCACCCACTGTGTCTCTTCTTTTAGACTTCTCGGCCAGGTAAATCTTGACCCACCGATCCGTATCGGAGCCATGGCAAGGAGAGGCATAACGCCTTCAATTTTTGAGTATGCAACATGGACATCCATCGAGCACGAATAGTTGCATGTAGGCGTTTGTCAGTTGTTGACACTAGCTGGCATCGGATTGATTGCAGGAATGCGCATCTCCGTTTGCGACGTTGCAGACTTGTTGTCTTACTTTATTTATTTATTTCTTTATCTATTTATTTATTTTTTTATTATTTTTGGAAACCCAGTCGATGTAATTTTTTGAAGACTTCCTTGGTTATTCCAGTCGGTTAGCAGAATATTCTGCGTGAATTTCAAGATAGGTATAGCGGTTATAGGCAGCTTGATTTTCTTCGAAAAAATAAATTAGGAGTGCAAATTTTGGAACATCGCAATGGAGATACGTGGTTTTGCACTTTAGTCTCCCATCGGATGGCCGCATTTAAATGCATGTACCTACACAAAAATAAAATGAGTACCTATGTGAAAATGTCGCATTTCGACGGTGAAAATCGGCAATCACATAACTCGTTTGCGGTGTCTGAAAATCTCCGCCTCTACGTCATTTTTTTAAAGGAGAACAAATTGATATTATTTCTTAAAGTTTTTGCAGAATTTTCTTCGCATTGAGAAGAAAAATCATGACAATTTTAAAGAATTGCCGCTGAGTAGTTTTCCATTTAAAAAATAAAGTATGACAGGAAGTCTGCGACGTCGCAAACCGAGTATGTGATTGCCGACTTTCACCGTCGATTTATGGATACCCTCTGGAAGCGTGTATCAATTGTATCATGCATTTGAAGTCTGCCCTGTATCCTAACAAATCATCGAAATGACGTAAAAAGTTATATAATTCGAAACTCACATTTATGTCGCTCTAAATGCCTTATAATCAAATGCATGTAAAAACCATTTAACCCGGGCCGTACCTATTCAGCACGTTTGGGCCCCTAGGCGCAGCCTGTGGTGCGGGTCCCCAACTTCCCACCTTCATTTGAGGGTGGGGTTTGGTGGTGAACTTCCTTGGTAGAAGAGGGATCCGGGGGACCTCCCTTGGACAAATACTTAAAATCAAACCACTCTTTGCCACAACTAAAAGCATTTTTAACACACATTATGAACGGAAAAAAGAGGAAGATTCAGACCAAAAAATGCACCTCTCTTATTTTTGTTCTTTCTGCAGTTTGCAACAGACGGATTTTCAAGAAATGGAGGAAAACATTTCAACCGCCTATTGATGGATAGCCAACAGTTTGAGAGAGATGAGGGGCAAGAAAAAACGAAATTAAAAAAAAAAAGAGTTATTAATTGCAACACATGTGTTGCATTAGCGAGCACAGGAGAGAAGTTTTTTTGGTAAAATTCGTATTTTAAGTATTGTATTTTCAATAATTCAAGAATATACCTAAATAAAGTAACACTTAAAAATCATATATCGATGGTGTAAGTCCGCAACCACGTACCTCGGTTTGCGACGTGGCAGACTTCCTGTCATTCTTCGTTTTTCAATAGAAAAACTACTCAATGGCAATTCCTTAAACATGTCGTGATTCTTCCTCCCTGTGCGAAGAAAATTCTGCAAAGACTTCAAGGAATGATGTCGATTCGCTCTCCTTTAAAAAAATGAAATAAGAGCGGAGATTTTCAAACACCTCAAACGTGATAAGTGGTTGCGGACTTGCACCGTTGATATGTAAATAATTAATTATGGAAAAAATTGTAAAATGAGATCATCACATTTTATACTTCTTACGGCAATAGTGACGATAAATTTTAGAGGGAAAAAATCGGCAGGAAAAAATATAATTATAAACTTTCAAATCTTTACCGCCTTACCATGGCCGTGAACCGATCCACACCAGTTCAACCGACAAATTATTAAAACCCCAGCATTGATTCGATCTATTCACGAGTTTTTCTATCAATTTACGTTTTTACTTTTCGATAGATTCATTTCGATCGAATCCGTACCCTACGCTTCAAAAGGGTTCATTGATCAAACGAACTTTGCTATGCAATTAGGAACCACAATTTTTGACTTCGTTTACGGACAACGTATGCATCGTTAGTTTCCTTCTGCACACTAAAGTTTTTGCAGATGAGCCAGACATTGTACTCATTGTAGTTCCGAACAGCAAAATGTAGTCCAAATGATCACGCCATTATATTGCTGGACAACGAGGAAGCCTACACGTAAAAGTCGCTTCACTTGCATGCTATCTTATTTAAAATTATTTATAAAAATATGAAAATGAAGAAAAGAAAATTAGTTGGGTTTTAAGTAATGTTTTATCATTTGAAATGATAATACTTAATTCCAACAAATTTTACAAAAACTTCAATATCTTAAGTTGAAAACGACTGACGCCGCAAGTTTGAATAATCGCATCAAACACAGTGCGGCCGGCGCGGCGCAGGACGCATTGTAGCGCCTTACAAGACCACAGGATACTTCATGCATTGCGCGTACAGCTCGGTAAACTTGACGCATAGTATAACGCCTTACAGGTCTGCCGGATACTTCATGCATTGCGCGCATACCACGGTTCGGTATACGCGCTCAAGTCGTATTTTTTTGGCGTCGCGTCGTCGCACCTACCACGGTGTGCACAATTTCTGAACAGTGCATTCCGCGAGCTTGCAATCCTCAGATCACAGGATTGTAGATTTTGCAATCCTGTACGTTTTCCGGTGAAAAAGTAATTTTCCCCGGCCGCTTCGAGGAGCCAGTCCGCTTCTGATCTTAATTGCGGAGATTCAGAAATTCAGACGATGATTAATTTTTTTTCTTCTTTTGATGAAAACAATAAAGAAAATAGAATGAGCGAAATTATCGGGTCGAATTTTTTCTTTTTTTCATTTTGTTTGAAATCAGTTGGGCGCTTCTGACTCTTTGCACGATTTTTACGATGATCGAAGGGAAAATATGTATCTTCATTGCAACGATTCAGAAACTCGAACCACGTAAAATTAGTTTGGGTTTAATAAAAAGAAAAAATGACGAACGAAAATATCGCGTCGAAATTTTCGATGATTTTATTAGAGATCATTCCGGAGAATTCCCGGAAACTCTTCAGGAAAACTGTGCATATATTCTCAAAAGCCCCCGAGATAAAATGAACCATGAGAAGTGGCGTGTAACGTTGCAATCGAAGATACTTAAATACGTTTATTTCTCGTACACCCGTCTGCATTTGAAGTCATTCATCTTTTTAATAACTTGAACATGGATACTCTACGATTTTTTATTATGTTCAAGTAAGTTGCCACTGGAAATAACAAAAACCAAGGTTCAAAGGTTGAGAAAAAATCACTGTTACCATTATTTTTCATTTCAAAGACGAAGAAGCGCTTCTTTGAGACAGCACTCGAGGTATCTGAAGGTACATTAAGTGAAAGTTTCTTCAAGGATAATGGAGGAGCGTTAAAGACCAAATAAATAGAATTAAAATTTGTTTTCAACGATCACAATTTTATTCATTCAAACATTTATTTTAATAAATCATCAGGTATGTTTTCCCCTGATAAAACCTTTCCATCACCGGAAAAATGAGGTTGGTACTAAAAGACAATAAAAAAAATCATCGATCCATACAATTAACGAGAGAGAGCAAGAATCGGAGACAAAGCAATTTTGTACTAGCGTGGGTCTGAATTTAAATTGAAAATCTTCAAGTCAGAGACATCACCATTCAAGTTCAGTAATAGACAAGGGGATAGGGATATACCTAATACGGGAAAAAGGAAGTTTACAGTACCTGCTTGAAGCCTAACAGGAAAATTGGCTCTAAAAACCATGATTTTGCGTGATATGAGCAGTTAATGGAGCAGAGATGCTGTTTATAACACTAAAAATGTCGAATATTGGATTCGTATAGGGGGGGATTAAAATGGCCTTTCTCATGACAAAACAATGCATTTTTTTGCAAAAATGAAGATAAATCAAGTAAAATTTGCTGGCGTAACGAAAGATGACTGGTTCATATTTAAGAAACAAAATAGATTACTTTCTTTGTTTTTTTCGAGCATCATGCGTTAGAGGGGCTCTAATATCAAGCACTGTTCTGCCATGCAAAGGAAAAACGCCATAAAAGCATCTGAATGTTATATTCCTCCTGAAAAAGAATAATTATTCGGGCAAATTATGGACTTTTTCAGAGAAAATTGCAAAACAAATTCGCAGAAAATTTGGAAAAGAAATATTCACAAGTTTTCCAGAAAATGTGTATTTTCTCAAACAAAATTTGAAAACGTTCAAAGGCTCATACAGCGTTCTTCCTTAGCATGGCAGTGTTGTTTGGATCAGCGCATATATGGGGGAAAATTTGAGAATTATTTAGTCAAGAAACTTTCAAGAGAAAAGGGCAATGAAAGGGATATTGAGTGGGTAAAAAAAATTATATAAGTTTGCAACATCTTAGTAGCATATATGGAACGAGGGGCTTTCTTGTAAATAGTGAATCAATGACTTTACAAACAGAGAAACTGCGTACTTCTTAGCTGAATGTGGATCAGTCTAGAGTACCTGTATAGCGAGAGTATGGACAGATCGCTTCATGGAGGGCTTAGGGCCCAAAAGTGCAGCCACCCTTCTAACCAACTTCTAACGCACAAAATTTCACTGCCAGTCTGCAGGTTCCAATTCTAACCAAGATGGCCAAGAATGTACATAAATGAGCGTTCTTCCGCAAAATTGAGTAAATTTATGCAAAAACTGAGTCAAACACGTGCTTAATAAACGACGGTTCGTAACAATAGTATTAGTAAATCGTTCTGAATAATTGAAATTCATAGGTTGGCTGCATTACTGGACCCTAACTTTATCCGCAGAAGCATCGGTGAAGGCCTGATGGATTTTCGGAGTTTCACATATGTCCATACTCTCGCTATACAGGTACTCTAGATCAGTCATGAGAGTTAAGTATTTTCAGACCTCCCTTTGTAACTTGAACAGCTATAATTTATGTCACCCTGTTCAGAGCTGCTCAACAAAAAAAACAGCTGAAACCAGAGCTCTAAAAGTTTCCTCTTACAGAGAGTCGACTAGAAAGAATTGTAAAAATAAATTTACTTTTCAATGTATATGAACTGATAAGTTTACAGACTTGTGATCCTCCTAAATATCATCACAACTTACAGGCATCGAAGTTTCTTGTAGAACTGTGAGGTCTCATTGACTGGAAAATGCAATATGTATCAGTATCCCGTGATTAGGTTTGGATGGACACAGATTTTGAACTCACCCTGAATACTGAGGTAGTCGGAAACGTGGACGGCAAGCTGATTATTGAAATTTTTCCTTCATTCACATGACACAATAAACAGGATTGCCACAGAATATATAGAAAACTAAATTTCCTGGCATTTCTCTGATTTCCCAGACACATTTTCGTAAAATTCTCTGAAAATTGAAGATATGCCAGATAGTTAAAAAGGCATACTTTTAAACAGTTTTCAAGAAAAATTTGTTGTTTGAATCGTCAAACCCATTTTAGGGCGCAAATAAAGGTGACTTCATAATTTTTTCCTGACATTTCCAGATTTTCCATGACTTTTCAGAATTTGTAGAAGCTTCCTGACTTCCCCAGTATTTGCTAACTGTGGCAGTCCTGGTTTTATCATGTCCCATTAATGAAGAAAAACGTTTAATACGCAGCTTGGAAACAATGAAAATTCGGCAAAATATGAGTTTGAGGTACAAGTATAAATACAGTTGTAAAAATATCTTATCATGAGGTTTCAGTTAGAAATAGAACAACTTGAATAAAAATTATTTTTTTAAAAGTTTGCAGATAAAAAATTAACAGAACCAGATTTAAAGGATGATTACAAGAAGCTTGCCATTCCTTAACAATTTACCAGAACTCTTCTGGCTCCTTCTTGTATTCTTAGAGAAGTCACCGATGATAAGGGAGAAACCGTAAATTGCCATCTCTATGACAGAGTCAAATCTCTTCCGATAAGCAAAGGTATTGTCTTCTCTCCCATGCAGATAGGCTTCCCTTATTCTTGCAAATATTTCCTCTTTTAAAATTATAAAAATAAGATAAATAAAAACGACATGAGAAACAACAAAATCTAAGTAATTACCTACCTAATTAAAAGTAACCTAAAGTTAGTTACAGTCACTGTAGCTTACATTAACAAATTAAAAGAAAAGTAATGACATAAAAACAGAAATTAGCTAGGACGGTCAAATCTAAACTCTAAATGAGAGAAGAGAGGACCTTAAATATCTAAAACAATCAAACCAAATAACCTCATTTTTAACGAGATAACAACAGATGCTTCTACAATGATTTCACATTGAAGTCACTCAGTTACATTAAATTTCCGGAGATTGAAATGTTAGTAACCCAAGCGCAGGGGTCACATTGCAATAAAATCTAAATGGATTTTCTGGAAAATCACAGATGCTTAGGCAATTTTGATTATGCTTCAAAGCACATCGCAATTTCAGTTAGAAGTGAAGTTTTTGTTTTAAAAAAAATCGCAGTTGGAGGGCTCTTGAGAGTTACTTGTTAATTGACAATAATAATTGTTCCCCAAAATTTGGATTAAAAAGAGCTAAGAGGGGAAATTAAGAAGCCATAATAATTGTTCAGTACCCAGAATTATGAATCTGGCACATAAGAAATGGATTTCGGCGAGAATATAGAGTTTAAAATTTCCTGAAAATTCCAACAACATCCATACTTATATACGATGAGGCAAGATTTCTCAGATTATTTTTTTTTACTCTGACAGTATTTAAGCCTGTAAAATGTAACATAAGAAACTGCAGTGTTTAGATGTACTTATATTTTTATTTTTTTTTTATTTTATACTTCAGCCTTGTTTTTGAGATTTTGGAAAATTCACTAAATGTAAAAAAAAAGCTCTCAATGGTGATCAGTTCTCCAAAAAAATGCTAAAAATTGGGTGAATTTATACTACGACATTAGTGCATTTAGGTTATACGTCATCTTGATTTTACTGAAAATCAAGTAAAATATGCTTAATTCAAAGACGTAAAAATGGACAGATGATCTGACGATAGTGTCTGCTATCAGTGAGTATGTGACTAAATCCTTGGCAGTACAATGACGTTAATGGTAATTTTCTTCTGCATGTAATGCACCTATAAGTGACAGTTGCAAGTATACTATTAGACAAAGGTGTCTGCCGAAATGTTGGTCCCGATAATCTTTGAGAACTTTTCAAACTACATCAAAAATATTGTACAATACATACACAAAAATAGATCTGAAGATAGAAAATACCATTTTCTAACAATGGTTTCTATTTATTTGTTCAGTTTTAGGAATAAAATTGACTATGTCTTGATAGATCCATCAATACCTTCTAATACTTTCTTTTACAAGCTGTCACATTCAAAATTAAAACTAGATTAAAGAAAAACCAAGTCATTTAATGAGCAATCGATAACAGTAAAAAATATAATACAAAAAGCCTGATCTATCTCACAAAAATATCACTGAGCTACATATCACCCTTCATTTCCACCTTCTTCTGCAACTTAACTATCACTAAAAATAGAAAAGGACGCTTGGTTGGAGCACAATTTTGCCAAACCTTCGTCCTCCTACCAATGGAACTTTTTCTCCATGGGGAAAAAAACTTTTTCAGAGCTTACACCTAGCATTTGAAGTGGACTGGGATGAGCAGAAAGGATCAGGATTTTATGGAAAACAAGGGAATTGAAGAATTCTATGTCTCACAATGAGATTTTTTTTTTAGATTTGCATTTTAGTAAATGACAAAAGGATTGTTTGTTAGTTTCTTTCTGACAAAAAAATTTCACAATATGCAGCGAATATCATTGTGCCTTTCAAAATTCTTAATAACTTGGTTCCCCTTCATTTCAAGGAAGGCAACCACATGAACGGTTGGTTCCCTCTTAGAATCATCACGAGTGAAATCCATTCAGAGAAGAACGAATTATATAGTGATGCTTACGGAGTTTTTCCGAGCAACTAAGGCGCATACCCCTTGTAAACCTTAATACCTGCTTCCTTTCTGTTTTACTTGACCCAATTCAGTTTGACTGATGCGATAATGCAAATTTTCAAGCCTCTGAACTAACTCAAATTGAGCACAAATGCAAAAAAAAAAAAAAAAGCCTGCGGTTATACAATGAAGAAGTTTTACAGCCTCTTCCTGATTTTGTGGTTTAGAATACATACAAATAATTACATGAGCTTCGTCTATCAAAATTTTAGGTGTATTCCTGCAATATAAATAAACCCGAGTATTGACCAAAGGTTGTGGTTTCAAGGGGAGCAATTTGTTTGATAACTATTTGAGAAGGTTCCAAGGAACCAAGGAAAGTAGTACGGTACCCGCTCTTTGAATGCATCTACGACAAGGTTTATAAAGCTGTTACCATAAAAAACTTGAAAATTTATTGCATGGATGTCTTTGTCAGAAGATACGTTTTGCACATATTCCTAGAATGAAGTGTTGGCATCTGATAAAAAGTTTTTGTGATCTGCTCAAGATATGTGAGTGCATAAAAGTTGGTTCCATATTACGATGGGACTACAAAATAGCACATGAGTTTAACACTAGGTTACATTCTGAATAATATGTTGGCTACCTTCTAGTTTAAAGTCATTAAGAACAAGAAACCATCAAAAGTAAAATATATTAGTCTCTCAGCTGGTCAAGCACAGATTTTGTTTTAAAAGAAAACGATGGGTTTGACAAAAGACATTTAGTTACAATGAGATAAGTTAACATACTAGTGATGTGACATTACTTGCTGAACATAATCCTTATAGGTTGGGATGAGGAAGGCAAAAGATTGAGCTCCAACTATTATACTAACTGAACAATTATTTGTATAAAGAGTTAAGAAAAAAAGAGAGAAAGAAGGATAGAGAGAAAAGAAAAACAACTTTGATAATCCACCCAAATTTTTTCAGAAGAGGCAATGCAAAAACTGTGATGGATTCTATCCAAAATTTAGTCTTGATCCCTTATGGCACAGTGAAATTTTGATGAGCAGGTTTTTCCTATAACTCGTACTTTTTCGGTTCTTTCAACTCCTGTGAAAGAGATAAAATAAAATAAAAAGTTTGAATCTTGTGTTGCATTAAGATAAGGTCTGTCAGAAAATTGTAGATTCACTCATCCCAGACGGTTCTCGGTCTTATGTCTAGCATTTTTTCTTTGAATCGGACAGAAAAGCTCACGATGTAACATCGAACAACTGAGCTTTTTTTGCACACAGACCACTCATTGCTGTTTCATGCAACATTGAATAATATAGTATGATTTGGTCTAGGCATTGAATGTCAAAACCATTAAGAAACTTTCTACTTTTAAATGTCTGATTACATCTTATCACGGACAAATTCAAAGAGTAAGAAATGAAGAGAGTGCCAAATCTACAATATCAGCAAGATTTCACTGTGCCACTGAAAAAATATTAAGATTGCAAAGAAAGAAAATAAAAGAAAAACAGTATTTGTTTCCTCGACATAAAAAAGGAAAAATATACCATTTCAATAAAAATTCCCTCTGAAGTAAAAATTCTCTGAATGAAGAAAATTTAAAACACTTTGGTTTACAGTTCCAATTTTATCATTAAGAAAAAAAAAAAAAGATAAACTGATTTAAAATGTAAAAAAAGCTTTAAACATTAATATATACATCCATTAACAAACTTAAAACAGCCTAGAGTGTCTTCTATTATGCTATTAAAATTAACATAGAAAATTCTCCGATGCTATACATAAATATTTTACACAAATTTTTTGATAAAAAAAGAAAAGGAAATTAAATACAAATAGAAAAAATTGAACTTTCAAGGCCAATTTCTAAGTTACTTTTCAAGTTCCTTACCCTTGGAAATTTCTCCAGTTCTGGTGAATTTTGATACAATTTTTTTTTTTTTTTAATATTTTTTTAAGAGAAATGAAGGAAATAGTGAAAGGCAAATTGAAAACTAGTGTCAAAACTGCAGATCCTCCATTCAGTCTCTGAAATATGTATTTAAAATACTCATAGGATGAGAAAATAGAAAACCCTGTCAGCCACTTTGCAACCTTTCAAAATTTCTGTCTCAATGTGTTTTACGGAGGAAAAACCATTCTAGAATTTAAAAAAATTGTCTTTGCAAGAATATTCTTAAAAAATTGTATGCAAAAATATTTGTTGGTTTCCTCTTAGAAAACGGGGGGAAGAAATAGAAAAAAAAGTAGGAGCAGCAATTTTTAAACAGTATTTGAGGTTATACAGGATTTTTTAGTTTCCCATCGAGATAAATTTACTATGAATAAATTAAACAGTATAACTATGATCTGACAGTCTCTTAACACTCAGTTTCTGTTGCAGCAATGTACAAAAAATGCACTTGAGGTGAGTCTGATAAAGAAAAAAAACCAAATCAGACAGAAAAAAATTCCAAGAAAAGCTACAAAGGTCTCCAATATTTAGAACAAAAGGCTCCATTTCTTAATTCAGAGTATTCTAATGAATGTCTCCTCTATCTAATACCCTGACAGCAGCAATCTCACAAAATAATTTAGAAAAATATGATAAACCTTAGAGATTTAGGTTCAATTATTTTTCTTCTTGTCTAAAAATATAAACATCTAGATTCTTTTGTGAAATAGCTATTCTTTCCTATTATTCTTGCCTGTAAATCTAATGAATACATGTATATTCAACAAAGCGCCATTTTCATTATTCAAGTCAAAGTATAGTCAACCGAAAATAAAAGAAACAACAAGAAAACCCTTTCAATCTTAAAAAAAAAAAATTTCATTACTCTATTATCGAAGTGAAGTCCTGATTTTCTTTTCGATCCATACATCGTCTTACAAGAAATGATCATAAAGCACACGCACACTTAAGCAAAAAAAAAAACCTAATATTAAAGCATAAAACTAGATTCAAGAATTTCAAAAAAAAAGAAAAGAAAAATTGACGGTGTTCAATCATCCCAAGCTTTGAGATCAGAAATTTTTTCATCCCTCAACTGTTCAAAATTGGAGTTTATATTTTCGGCAGCCACAAAGCTTAGCTTACATAATGATTTTGCCTTGATTATTCCGATTTTTAAGCACATGCACCCATGCATTTATTTTATGATACTTAGAGGCACTTAATTTTGAAGTGCGTTTCAAAAAAATAATACACTATGGAGTACTTTGACAGTGGAACCTGTTTATAGTAGACCGTGGTCAATTTGCAAAATTGATATGACATTAGAAGAAATACCAACAATGGCAATAACAAATAATAAAGTCCAGCAAACAGTAAAAAAATAGCAGTGCCGAGAGAAAAGGAAAAGAAACAAAAACAAATGTCTAAGCAACTCGAAATTTAGTCCTCGAGTAAAACTGTAACAATCATCAATTAAAACTTTGAGTTGTTCAAGAATGAAACCTAGCAATTAATATTTTCAACGGATCCAGGATCATTTTAGAAAGAACATCATAGCTTGTCAGCGATCCATGATAATTTTTTTCATGTTTAAACATAATCTCATGTATTGAATGTCAATTGATAACATTTCAGGAACACTTTTAGATGACTTTTCATATGTAACTGAAACATTGTGTTAAACAGTGAACCTAGTTTTCATTCGTTTTCGACATCGGAAGGCCAGGGGAGGAAGAGTGAGAGGAATGCAATTCCCTGTTTTCTTCTGTATTTTTTTCACTCCCTCAGCTGCTCAATATTAAAACCTGCCTCTAGCAGAAATACTTTCCAGTCCTATGAGATTCATATAGAAGCAGGTTCCACTGTGTCATACTCAAGAGGCTTATTAATGAAAAGGGAAAAAATTAATACAGACAAAATCAAATGAATACATTTTCACATAAAAAAGGAAAAGCCAGGGAGACCCTTCTTTCCTGAGTAACAGTATTTTACGTAAAGAGAAGCTGCACTCTGTGTTAACATAAAATAAAAGTAGATGTGCTGTTTTTCTGAGTTCTTAGTGGTTTCGGACTTTTGCTACTTTGTGGTCTCTTTAAATCATCAATAATTTTAATCATCGTGGTATTAAAATTCAACGAAAAATAAAACAAAAGAAGATAGAAAAGACGGAAAATGTTTAAATGATTCTTCGCTGTCTATTAGGTTTCCTTCCTTGATGATAAAAAGGGTTTCCATCTGAGCTGCTTTTGAAAATTCTGAACTTCTTCATTCATTGCCTGATGCAAACAATTAACACGATGTTTTACAAATTCATAATTCGTGCTCAGAACATGGTATATTAAAATAGGATTTGTAATAAACAGATTTAACAGAATAAAATAAAATAAAATCAGACAACAGCATAGCTGCATTCAAGAATTCAGCTACATATTTTCATCCTTGAAATAAGGAGAGAAACTAGAGGGAAAATTGACAAAAAAATAGGTTTGTCAAAATATGACAAAATAAATAATATTAAAAAGGAGGGGAGGGGGACAGAAAAATTAATACTTAATCATACTTGGGGAGGATTGGATTTATGATCGTGATCAATGCTGCCATGCTAAGTAAAAACGACGTAAGAACCTTCAGGCTTTGCCAAATGTCATTTAATAAAATACGCATTGATTGGGAAAGTTGTAAATATTCCTCTTTCAATTATTCAAGAAATATTGTTTGCAATTTAACACAAAATAGTTGAAAATTTTAAGGATAAATATGTGTAACTTTCGTCCGTAATAGTTTTTTTATTAGAGGAAATGGCAACATTCGAATGTTTGTACGGCACTTTTTCTCAGCATGGCAGAATGAGGGAAGCACTGTAGGAATGATTTGTTCCTTGAATTTTGTCATGCATTATACTTTTGACACAACTGACTAGTATGCAGATTGAACAGATCATCAATCAAATCAACCACTGATTTCATCAGTCAACGAAAAAAAAAAAAATAAATAAAAGGCAGAGAACAAAAGTTGAGATGAGAAAACAAGTTAAGTACAAATTAAAGCTAAACTATAAATAGCTAAAAACAAAAAAAAATCACAAGAGAGGATGAATTAACTGGAGGGATACTTAACTTTTATCTATCATCCGATAGATATACCGAGGATCTTTTTGGTAGAAAAGTTTTAGTTCATCAACTATGCTTCTGAATTTGGAGATTTCTTCATCATCAGTCTCTTTCAGAGACAGTTCTTTTGAACCAAGACTGTAAAAACAGAGGATAGAAGGTATAATTACTGTATTTAAGGTTCATTGCCTTACAAAATATGAATGACTATGTTACGACACATTTTTACAAAAGACAAAAGAAACAAGACAAAAAAAAAAAAACAAAAAATACCATGTTGTTTTTTTTTGGAGGGGTGGTGTAACAATTGCAACTGCCCTGTGACAGTGTGGAATATTCCTATTTTAGTTTAGTGTCACTGACTGATAGTAGGCAGGCCTCATTTTAATAAAAACAATTTTTGCACAACTTTTTGATACTTCCGTAATATTTTGTTCTGTGACATTCTAAAACAATCAGAACATGCTCTAATAGGTTCTAGGAGTTGTTACCCATTAATATGGAACTCCTAATTTTGGTTCTCTTGAATGCATTATCATTGATTGTGAAAAAGTAACAGTAAGTCTTAAACATGTTTCAACCTGGAGTTGTGTCCCAGATAGTGGTCGGATAAGGCCGAAACACATCAATTTAACAAAAAGTCAACAAATCAGACTAGTGAGAAAATGTTTTTAAATATTTCTGATCATAATGACTCTAGTCCGGTACTTTCAAAATTTTAAATTAAGTTTCTACGGTCACTTCAGACAAAATTCATCTGAAATAACAGAATTGTGTTTTCTGCCACTTGACAACCTGTTACTATAGAAAACTTGCTGAGTTCACTTCAAAACCAGGATGAAAAGATTTGTTTGATTTCAAAATTCCCTAGGAAATTAAACTTTTATTGAAATAAGTTCCATTTTTAAAATTTTGGCTGGGAGCCAAAGTTTTATGAGATGAATGCTGATGGTAGAAAATTCACAGAGTAACAAGATCTTTAGGAAGATAAATAAATAGGTACTAAGAAATACATACTGATGAAGTGCAGCTATCAACAGCTGAAAATGATCAGGGATGGTGTAAACTGTGTGCGGATTCAAGCTTGTGAATCTAGAGCCTTCTGGTGGAAAACCCTCCAACCTATAGAAAGAAATGAAAGAGAGACAGTGGTGAGAATAGGAAAATTAAAATCATTCTACAAATATGGTAAGATACTGATTGAACAATTAATCTCAGTGAAAGGTAGGGCTGTGCGAATAGTGAATTTTCCAAACGAAGCGAATAGCGAATAATTTTGGCAAATATTCGCGAATAGCGAAGCGAATAACGAATAATTTAAGTCAATTATTCACAGCTACGAATAGTAAAACGAATAATTGGAAATTACTTTTTCAAGTGTGAAAATTCGCGAATATTACCAAAGTCGACAAAAAAATGTGATTAATTTTTTAAGAATTTTCCATTTGCTCATACGCCTGCACAGAAAACAATGAAATGCTATGATAGTAGCCTAGACTCTTAAGAATTTGTTTGAAGATCCCTGGATGCTGGCTTGACTGTCCTTGCAGTTACGTATGCATTTCCAGGATTTGAAGGTTACTGCGCAGGCAGTCAAGCAAGTATCGAAGGATCACTAGGCACATTTTAGTATTTTATTTTTTTCGGTGTAAATAAAAATGTGTTTATGAACTTTTTTTTTCTATTTCAGACATTTCTGTGTCTTTCAATCCTTAATTTGGGCTCTTTGCTTATTCCTCCAATCGCAATCGCGCTAGCTGTTTGTAAAATCGGCAAAGTAGGTAAAGATCAAAGGAGATCCGCCGTTCGCGATGTCTCGGGTGGAAGCGGAAGCCTTCCGCAGGTCCTCGCAACGTTTCACGATTGCCACTCGGGAATTCGTCATTTTTGATGGCGCGAATATTTGAAAATTCATTCCTCAAGACGGCGCGAATATTTGGAAATGTCAGTTCAAAAATTCACTATTCGCGACGACGCGATTATTCGCAATTTGCGAGTAGTGCGCGAGGCAGGCGCAAATAGTCGGAGTTGCGAATATTCGCACAGCCCTAGTGAAAGGAACATAATGTTAAAATGAGGAAATATATACCTTTATAGCTGTAATTTGAATTTTTTTTCACATTGCATTTTTACATAGGTATTTCAAGGAGTAACCATTTTGGCAATAATTTTTGAACAGTTAAAGATAAAGCTGTGATTTCACCGTAATCTGTATTTGATTAGGTGGAGTAAAAACGTTTTTCAAATAGGTTTTTTTTTTCTCTCTCTAATTGCTAGTTAAAACTTTTTAGATTTTTAAGGTTTTTTTTCAGAACAACTATAGTGCTGAGGGCAATCCTCAGATGACGACATTAATTGCAGCATCTTGAGGCAAACTGCATTCAGTCCCTAAAACTAACTTTTTTATAACCGCAAAAAACTGTCACATCGACATTTAACAGAGTTTCTGCCGCATCTTTTGTCTGACTCAAAAGAAAGTTGAAGAAACCTGTCCAAATCAGAATGTATGCAAAAAATAAGAAAACTGCATGTTGGAGGAGAGTTTTCAAGAAAATTCAATTTCCTCTTCAATTCCACAAAATCAGAGAAGTAAGTTTAATGACCGACATTGCAATCAAGTGATTTGATGCAAGTTAAATAAAATAACAGAAAATTGGCATCTGAAAGGAATGAACTGAGTCCTCGCCAGAGTTGCCATAATTACTTCATCTTCAAATTCTCTGACTTTAAAATTTTCTAATTACCTGACCTTCACACAAAATTTCCACTTTTTTTTTTTTTTTTTTAGCAAACTTTTGCAAAACTTTGGACTATGAAAAAAAGACATTCCGTAGCTGGTTAGGAGATGAGAAGCCTTAAAAATAACCAGAAAGAGTAAACAGTTGTAAGATCAGTGATATGTTTTGAAGTTCAGTGAATGTGCCAGAAATTCCCTGAATTTTCCAGGTTTTCCAGGCTACCAACAAACCTTGCCTCAAAGACCTGGGAGAGGGATAGGTGGTGCTCCCTGCGATACCCTTTTTTTTATTTTTCGATGCGAGTGTCAGATATTGGTGAATTATAATTTTCAAGCTGATTTTTTCAATGAGGCAAAGCCATTCTTTCTCCGATTGGAGTGGTCATTCAGATTCAGCCTCAAAATATTATGAAAATCTATCCCTAACCTCTAAATTGGAATTTAAGTTTGCTTCATGAGGCCTCAATCACCTTACAACATAAATATTAATTTTTATTTAACAGCTTGATGATAATGAAAAGAATTTAATTTAATATATAAAAATAAAATTTTAAAATTCTATGACAGAGGATGTATTTAAAACGTAGATTTCGACTAACCTTGTGATGAAAACTCGCTTGTAAGAATTGGTTATTGTGTTTGCAACGATGTACTTGAGAGCGAAAATAAAAATGTTGTCAAAACATTCTGGATGTCTGTAGCGATACTTGACAACAGATGAATGCTGCAGAGATGTCTCAACCAGCTGCGCCATTTCAGAACAAACAACAACAATTCTCACGGACGGATCACTGGCCAGACCGATAACCCAGTCATAGGTCGATTCAGCAACTTTTTCCCACTGGTTAGGATCCCAGCAGTCATACACCTGTGAACCACCAAGGAATTAGTAAATCCAGTTCAACTATAGTGAAGGTTTAAAATATGAATACTGGAATTTTTAGTCTGAGCGTCAAAGTGAAATATGCTCAAACATTTCACTAATCAAGTTCTCAATTCACATCTGCAACTATGAACATTCCTTCATTTGAGATGCTTTAGGCAACTCAATGGCTCCACTTACACCTACAAATAGTAAGTTGCGAAAAGGGAACAAGAACCAATAACAAACAGCAGTAATTGTGATCTAACTACTGTCTATGATCCCTACTCGCAGCTTTCAACTTGCAAGTGATAAGTGATTTCTTAAAATACTATAAAGTAGAATAGAGCAGAAGCATCGAAATGTTTTTTTTATCTGTTTTGAGATGTCATGAGAGAACTGCCGAGCAGCCTCATTGCTTCCTGTGGCATTTGCAATATTTGAACTTTATCATCTTGCGTTAGGGGCAGATATACCTAAAGAATGTTTTCAGGCACATGGAGCGCCTTATAAAGAGAACGTGTTGAGAATTCTAATAAATAGATTTTTCCAAATATATTATATACATTATTACTGATTTATTTCATATTAACTCCTGTTCTTTCAACATTCTAAGGAAGCAGGTTGCATTAGGACTTGAATCTTAAAATTGAGAGAAAAAAAAATTACTTGAAAGTTCCTTACCTCACATTTGGCAACATTTTTCAACACATTTCTGAAGATGACCATTGCATCCATGAAAAGCTGGCAATCTCTGGCGTAAATCAATAAAATGGTCGGTTGGAGTGTGAAAATAGGTTCAATTTTGTCTGGTGTGGGTGTAAAAGAAACAGTGTACTGCGAATCATAAGCGCTATTATTCTTGAGTAAGAACAGTTTGTTGACATTGCGCCATAACAACCGATTAGTTGACCACGCTCCGAAGAATACGACGAGACAAATGAAGAATACAACGCCCATGAATAGCAGAATGTAAGGAAAAGTGACAGATTTTATGGATTCCGGGATGTCTACTGTTTGCACTGTATCGGATTCAACGGCAGCTGAAAAAAGTAAATCATCATGAATTTGTGAATATTTACGAAGGTTCAAAACATGGCACAACTTATTCTGCTAGGATAGAAAGCTTGCAAACTGAACTCTGCATTGACTTGATGGCAACACTAGTTCTGGCCAAAAGAGGGAATGAAATACCTTACTGCAATACACAGTAACCCTAAAACCAGCTACTCCTATGAATGCTTCAAAGCTTAAATTTTAGGAAAAATCACATCGCTGGAATATCAGATCAGATGCCCATACTTGTAATGGCTGACCGCCTTGCTTCACAAATAAAATCATAAATTAGTAATTACTTTACAAAATTACTCCACACAAATTGTTCGTAAATTTGAATTGTAATATTTTTTTAATGTCTTCATATGCATAGAAAATACATTCCTGGAGTGTAGTATTCATTTGCAATGTAAAGGGAAAAATATTTCTGGACTTTGTACAGAAATTTCTATGATATCATGTTAAATTTTCGCCAAAGAAAAGGGGTACATTGGTTACACACTTTACTCACATACCTGTACTAGTATTACTCAAATTGGGTTCCACTGTGAAGGTTGATTGTCACATGATAAAGACTTATTTTTTTTAGAGGACTAAAATAAATTTAGAGTAAAATCTTACTAAATTGATGATGCCATGAGCATGGCTCTGAGTGACTGATGTTGAAAGACCATAGTGTGTTGGAGAAACATCTTTCATCCCATAAGTCAACTCTCACACAATAGCGGCCGGGTTGTATTCCGTAAAACTCACACTCCAGTCTATGGCGATCCTGTAATAGATAGAAAGCATATTAAGGATAAATTACTCTATCTGAGCAAAGAATTTATGTGTATGAGCCCCTTAGGACTTTTGTATTAATTTCAATCCTCTAAAGAAGTAATTATCAGAAAGCACTAGAGGCGAATCGCCTCTGATATTAGAAATTTACTTGATACCAAGTGAAGCTGGAGCAGCTTGTAGCTATCTTCTTTTGCCCTTCTGTACATCTTCCGTTAGTCAGCTTTGAAATTATGATCAAGTCACTTATGGTTAAACTTATTGTTTAGGGGGCATCAGATGCTTCCTAACTGGACTTAATGTTACGACGATAAACAATGCCATATTTTGTTAAAATGAAGAGAGACTTGTTCCATTCAATACTTACTGAGTCCATCCGGCAGCCTGATTGTTGTTTTTTTTGTTTGTCGGGTGGAAATGGATGACATAGGTTAAATGGCAAAGCGTGATTGGTCGGCTATGTCTTATCGTTGCTTTGTCATTTGGAATGGACGACAAACTAAAAGCACCTCTTGAGTATCCTACAGTATGTCGTCCATTCCACTCGACAAAGCAACGATAAGACATAGCCGACCAATCTTGCTTCGCCATTTAACCTATGTCGTCCATTTCCACCCGACAAACAAAAAATTTCAACAATCAGGCTGCTGTCAAGCCTCGGTATAGCTTGATTAAGGCTCTTAGCTCCAAAAGAAAACACTCTTAAAGTCTGGCACTGACATTGATACGATACATGGTTGGCTGATTGAACAGATGCTGAGCTTTGCCAAAACAAGTGTGACTGATAAGAGTAACGGAGCCTAACATCACTGTGTAGGACGGCAGGGTTCTCGTTGATTCACTGGGTCTCGCAATAGCGTCTCACTAGTCAGAGAAGCCATACTTCTACTACCACAAAGATTACCCATTAGATATCTTGTACACTTCAGCACATTCTACGCACCTGAACCTATCTTGTCCATCTGTTGAGAATTTTTTAAGTAAATTGAAAAATTTTAGCACTTAGAAAACTTACCACAATAGAGCAACCAGCAAAGTTTTTCTTTGACACTCCTTTCGTCTCACATTCTGTAACGCCTTGAGAATTTGACTGAAAAAAAGGAATGAAAATAAAAATGTAAACGAATACATACACAAGATGGTCACATAGTGTTAGGTCCACACTATTTTACAAGGAAAACACGGCCCAAAAATAAACAAAAATATTCTTGTTTCAGATAAATAAATTCGTTATCCGACTGGAGAGAAAAAAAAACAAAAAAACACGGGTGGCAAATCTAAATAGGTTTTATTATTGGCTTCTTCTAATTTTTAGAAATAAGGAAGAACTCTGATTTCTTTCCTTGACTAACATTGATTTTCAATGCATGATAATAGCACATGGTTTATAAGATGCGATTGGTCTGCAAAAGAATCTTCAGAATTAAAAACTTGTCGATTTTATCTTGCTCATATGAGTGCCTGATGCTTGACAGGAGCTAACAGATAAAGAGTGAACGAAGGCAATCAGTTACAAGTTACTTCTTCAAAATTAGACCAAAACACAATGGTTGAAATAGTTAATTTGGAATTCAACTTTAAAGCATATTCATGGGTGTACTTGACATACCGCAACATGATTAAATTTCCTGACTTTCTCAGGTTTTCCTTAATGTTTCAAGAACTTTTCACCTTGTTGTATAATTACCTGATAGAGAGTAGAGCCTCAATTTATTGGTTAGCACTCAGTCAGTCAGGTCAGTAATTTGCTTTGGATTTTGGGTTGGTTATTCACACTGTCTAAATGTTTGCACAACTCTAAACCGGCCGTAATAAGGACATATTTATGCTAAAAGAAACTAAAAGCATAGGGTTTATGTGAAACATAGTTATTTTTAGCATAAGTACATACCTATGTAAATCAGTTTAAGGCAAAAGAATTCATTTCCTGATTTTTTTTTTTTTAAACGCCAAGTAATTTTTTTTTATCTAATAAGAAATATATATTACCCATAGAATGAGACAGTTAGACTGTTGTACTCCGGTCTTATAGCACATCGTTATTTCGCTATGAGGGTCAACATGACTGAGCAAGAGGAATGACATGTAGAGTTGCTCTGAATCAAAGAAGGAACTTTCAAAGTAGGCATTGGCAATGAGTTTAGGTCCACGATCATCACCACTGAAAACAAAAAAAAAACTTTAATGAACACACAGATATGATGGAATTACTATGATAGATTATGATAGAATCCACTGTAATTAGGTAATCTTCATCGATGGGTCTGTCGCAAGAAGTGAGACTTTACGAATTATTGATGCGGGTGTTATGAAGTAAATCTTGTAAGAGGGACAATGGTTCCACTTAAAAAGCACAGAATTGTTTGCTAAGCTTGGTAAAATATTGTAAATGCTACGTAGAGAACTCTTGCAGACATAAATCCTTCATTTGACAAAATCAAAAAGAGGATAGAAAAAAATAAATAAATACCTAGAACTGCAACTGCTTTACAGATTTATCCTTTTTCAATTCTGAAATCAAAAGATAATGATATGTAAACTTACTCTGCAATATACTTCGTTTTGATAACAGGAACTTCATACTGAGACACTTTCTTCTTCGAATACTTGGTATTCATGTAACTGGGAGGTGTGACGATAGCCTTTAGAGAATTTTCACCAGCAAAAGGCGTGATCCATAACTGATAGCATCCAGAGAATATGTAGCGGAAAGTGACCCGTATTTCCTGAAATCATACCATGTTAAGTAATTATTGTCATGAAATATTAGGTTTATGTAATAACTTGCCTCTTATTCTGCCTTCTTGCCAAAATTCTGTTGAGAAAGAAAGTAACCAAGTTTAGAAAATTAGAAAAGATTCATCAAGAGTTGAGATAGGATTCCTTTTATGAGAGTTTTGAGTAAAAAAAGAGCTTTGAAAGAGAATCGTTGGATTGCAAATCCTTTGTAATTTTATTTAAGAGGCAGCAAGGGAAATATTCAATTATGCTCGAGTTTATAACAGATAACTAAATAAAATTACTTCTTCACAGGTCGTAGAACAATTTTTTTGAGAGCAGTCTTCATAAGTGAGCAGTACTGATTTGGAGGAGTGAACATTAGTGCTGACGGCAGGGAGCACAGCTTTCTTGCACTGTTCAGAGTTAGTGACGGAGTCATCGATGCGAAGTTTCAGTTCAAGACTGGTAAAGTTGCAGCAAGCAGGGGGTACACTGAATACTGATTCAATGATTCCCTCGTAGCCAAGAAGGTTCAATTGAGCAGATTTCAATTTCTTGTACATGCAGACAGATTCAGGTCCTACACATAGAGAAAAAAAAAAATGTGTTAACAATAATGATCAAGCCAAAACATGAAAAATTAATGGGTAAAAATATTTAAAAGAGCGTGTGAAGGGACCAAAATTGGACCACGTTTAGCAGAAAGGAACCAAGCCACATTAGCTGTTGCCAAAATTAATTGGGCAACTTAATTTTTAAAAGAGAACGTTTGTGCGAATTCTTCTGAAAATTTTAAGGAAATTGCTTTGAACTATGCAGAAAGTTCACTGAACTTTGCACAAAAATCAGCACTACCCTTTTCATGTAAAAAATTAAATCGCCCAATTGAATTTGGCAATAGCTAATGTAGCTTAGATCCTTTCTGCTTAACGCAGACCGAATCAAGATTGGAACAAGTTCCGATTTGATTGATAGACCTATGCAATTTATTGAAAAATAACCAGAGTAAAAGTTGTGATGCATTGCAATAATTAAGGGTCACTACACTATCAATGTTGATTCTTCAAGATATGTACTACGTTTTACAATAGGTAGTAACCGTTCTGGCTAATTTCTCAGAAGCACCTAGGTATCTGCGTTGGGAAATAGGTGGCTTATAGGTTGCGTCTAAAATAAGCCAGAAATAACTGTTTCCAATGGCAAAAAGAAGTCCATATTATTGGTGGGAAAATTGTGATTAACCGCGAGACATTTGCAGATTCATCAAAGTTGAAGTCAAATTTTAACAACCGGAAAAAAGTCCAATTTAATCCTCCGGTCCATTCCATCAAAAAACGCATTTTTGCAGATCAGGCATTTTTCCGCCCATTTAAACCAATGTAATTTTGCCCGTAGTTTTGATCCCGAGCATCAGCTAAAAGAGCTTCAAATTGGCTTAAATTTTATACAGCCTATTATTTTCATATGCCGGGTGGCATCGATTGCCACCCGGACCTCGTCGATTTTCCGAAATTACGAAAATAAGCCGCACCCTACTGTAGGCTCCTCTACTGGAGTAAAAGCCACTAAAATAAAAAGAAGAAAAAGAGGAAATTTGGAGATGGATTTAACAAACAAAGTTGAACAAAAATGCACTAGAAATGGGGAAAGAAAAGAATGCGTAGATGTCACATCAACCTGAATGAATCAATCAGCAGTTGGCGAAAGGGTTAAATAGACTTTTAACACAATCTACACTGCGTGGTGGTACTGACTTAAGGCGGGAGAGGTGAGACAGTTAGGAGGGTAAGGCGCGCCTTCACTTGAGTTAATACAGCCTGGCATACATGTGGTACAGTGTGACATCCATTGTGAGAGTACAGCTGCGCGTCCGTTTGGCCCCGAAGTGCCTCTTATTCCTCCGATATTTCAGTACTACATGCAATCTAAGCTGCCTACCTATCGTCTCCCCAAGAGATTCTGATGCGCAGTATAGATTGTGTCATCACACAATGCATGGTGTGATGCATCTATGATTGGTTGTCACATAAATTTATGTTGAACGGTACTACTTTTCGATGTGACATTCATCCATTCTCTTCTTTCCCAGACAGAGGTTGCATCAAATTTGGACAGTGAAGAGGTTTGAAGTTTAATCCCTCCATAAAACTCAATGTTGAGAGCAAAAAATAGCAATTATTTTCAATTTATATGTTCAAAGTATTTTTTCTCAACTGTAAATTTTGACAAGAGAAATTTGACTACTGATTAATTCTACAATATTAACAACTCATTCAACTTGATGCTTTTCTGTTGAATTTGGCCCAAGTGGCAGAATACATTCTTTCAGTGGCTCACCTTTAGATCCAGAGGACGATAATTGAGACTTGTCATTGTAGCATGCATGAACTTTCAGCGGCTGTGGCAGTAATTTCTGTAGAAACATGGAAAAAAAATTAGGTTTCTGATTGAATAAATAAGCTTCTCGTAAAGCTAAAGAAGAAAAGCAAGTAAGTGATCATTAGTAAACTTTCATGAAGTTAGAAAACAAATTTCAAAACAATTATTCGGGCAGGGAGGTGGGTTGGTTTACTTAGGGGTGTCGTCAGCTAAGTTGACACTCGTTTACATTCCACTTGCAAGCAAATGCAATGCAATCGTCCAAAAGTGATAGAGGATTGACCGCAGTCTGGTTGTGAGCATAGTCTATCCTTGATTCCTATTGAACGGCCGCGTTGCGATCGCTTGCAAACAGAATGTAAACAAGTGCCAGCTTAGCTGACACCTCCAGAAGATTTGTTACAGAGAAATCTTCACCATGAACAAGTTAAGAAGTATACATATTTTGTCATTATTGGCATGGAGGAGAGCTAGCTGTGAATCAATGCTCCTGTTCTTATCAATTTATTGGAATTGAAACAATTGGGTACTGATAAGAATTAGGCCATCTTCATTCTCCATCCAAAGTAGAGCAGAAAATTGATCCTAATACAGTGCAGTAATTGCAATTAACCAGAATTTATGCATTTAAAAATGCCTCCATTCGCAAATAAGCAGTGCAAACCAATACTATTGCTAAAATATAAAACTTGGTCAAAACTGCTCTACCGATCCAATAATAACATCTCGTGCCTTGCCCTAAAAATTTACGGACATGTGTTTGAACAGAGAAGTGTGATAGGAGTGGAGTAACAGAAACGTGAAGCCAAAAGATTTACAAGTCATTTTAGGGAGATCCCTTAATCTTGAGGCGTATTTAAGTTTCGGGAAAAGGTTGATTTCAAGAAGGTTACATATTTTTTAAATGATGCTCTAACCTCCAAAATTGACTTCCTGCTCTGGAGTCAATAATACATAGATGTTTTCCTAATAAGACGTACATTCATTCAAGATAGCATTCGGTAGAAAGCTTCATGCTCTGAGAAAACAAAACAGCAAATGAGGAAGGTGGATTCGACCCTCCGGGAGGATACATAAATAAATTAAGTCTCCTGCAATAAGATGGCCTAGGGGCATATCAAAGATGTGAGATGTGCCCAAGAAGAATGTCAGACTTGAGCTGAAAAATGGAAGATGTGTTGGAAAAAGAGCAAGAATCACTTACGGCTGATTGAGGAAACTTGGTGGCTAAAGAGTAATAGGCATCACTTAAAGGTAGATTACTAAGATGGGCAATCGTCAAAAGAAGAAAAGAAAGCGAGGAACTAGACATTGAGGCTTTCATGATACATCAGGTCGGATTCATGGCCAACAGGTGAAAAACAACACTTATTAGGGTAGATAGAGGGTACCGATTACAACTAAATTACAAATAAATCTTGCGAAGCTACGCATAAACTTAATTCACAAATATAAATTACTAAAAAAAACTCATTGGTCCCTTAGGGACGACTAGGGACGACGTAACACTATCACGACTATCACCTGCAATTCATAGAAAAAACTAAAGGTAGTTGCCGTTTCAGTTTTGGCGGCCATCTTCATGACGTAGAGAGGTACAACCAATCGGAGAGAAGAAGAAGATATCAACAACGCAGTATTATCAGCAAGCGTACGTCACTGAGGTACGTCAAGCTTCACGTATCGTATGTATTAGCTATGTTTATGCGAGCCTCTTAACCTAACTTCAATCGAAACCTGAGTTTGAAACCAAGGTTCAAATCACGGCATAAACGATACGGAACTAACGAAATGTAGGTTTCCGAAATTTGTGTTTGAAACCTTATTTTACACTAAAGACTAGGTTTTCGCACTCCGCATAAACGAACCGGAGGTTGAAATTAGTTGAAATTCGACTTCAAATGCGATTTTCAG